TAAGGGTCTGCCACGCTTCAAGGTAGGAGCAGATGATTGGCTAGCCGTCAATGTACTAGGCCACATGGAAGGTGCAACATTTCGAGGCGGTATTACGGCGTACTCTAGGTACGTCGATCCTTGTAGGTGCTTTTATAGCGAGTATATGTGATCTCGTTACCTTTGCTAGATTAGTAAAAACATCCGGCATACTTTAAGCAATGCTCTAAAAATCTAGAATACGTCGCACTTTAGTTTCAGACTGGGCCGTGCAGGGATCTAAATGAGATATAGTGGGAGCATACCACGATAATTCGTAGCATTCTACAGGAACATTAATATTCTTATCTCCCCCTAAAGATTGAAAAACTGTCTCATCAAAGTGACAATCCGTAAAACATGCGGTAAAGAGATCTTCTATCAAGGGCTCTAAGTAGCAAATAATTGATGACAAATCATAACCCACATAGATTCACATTTTTCTCTAATGACCTATTTTGGTACGTAGTAGTAGCTCTATTAGCACATAGATTGCACACCTAAACACACATAAATGCAAGACGTTAAGCTCATATCCAATAACCAACTATAACGATAGGTCTCAGGAGGACCAACATAGCTACATGCAATATTGCATTGCCATAAGCAGATACCGACAGTTTAGTTCGCATAATCAAAGTCTGAGCTATCAATTGAAAGCGCTTTATGAAAACTTCTACCAGGGCGTTTTGGGTGTGAATATAAGGTACATGATGTTCAACTTCAATCGCAACTGAGAAGCAATAGTGATCAAAAGTCTATGACGTAAACTCTCCAGCATTATCCAATTGAATTGACTTAATTGGATAATCAAGGTAGTGAGCCCTAAGTTTAATAATTTGCGCTAGGATTTTCACAAAAGCAGTGTTGCATGTGGACAATAAACAAACATATGACCAACGTGTCGACGCATCAACCAACACCATAAAGTATCTAAATGGTCTACATGATGGTTGGATAGGTCCACAAATATCCCCTTGAATCCTCTGAAGAAACTTAGGAGGGTTGTGAATAATCCTTGTAATTGAGGGTTGAGTATTCAACTTCCCCAATGAACAGGCTTTGCATTGCAGGAATCCAACATAGGGAGGTAAATGATGTTTATGTGATGATTTTAGGATATGGTGCATCATGTCACGTCTGGGATGTCCCATACGATCATGCCATAGTAGGAAAGTGCCCTCGTACTTGGGCTTAAGGCTGGCCACATGGTAGGTCTCTATGCCGGGAATGGTTGTGATGTACAATCCATTCGGGAAACGTTCTAGCTTTTCATGAATAAGCTTCTGGCCATACTCATAAGAAGTGATATGAAGAAATTCAGAACCATTCTCTTCAGTGGTTTCAACATGATATTAATTATCTCGAATGTCTGTAAAACTCAGCAACGTTCTTCCAAAACGTGAAGAATAGAGGGCCTCTTTAATGGTTAAGACAGTACCATTAGACAACATTATATGGGCATTTTCGTATCCTTCAATCATGTTGGATGAGCCTGAGAGGGTTGTCAAAGGTGCATTCTTAGGTACAAAGTTAGTAAAATAATGTCGCCCACGCAATATGGTGCGCGTAATAGTTCTATCAGCCAAACAACTAATTTCCCCACTAGTCATACCTAGAAATAAATTAATTGAATTGGCCATATGCATAAATTTAAATCCATTCATTCAATTAATCAATTGAGAAATAATATCCATAAAATAATTATCTGTAATTCAAAACCAAAACCGAACAAATTATTTCAAAGACTTAGAAAAATTGTCCAAAAATTAAACCATAAACCTAAAAATAGAGGGGGTCCGACAACTCCTAGTCGAACCCACTAGGGGTAAAAACACCCTAAAAATATGTCTAGAAGAATAAAACTTATTTGTCCATTGGAGTTTATGCCTCCTGAAAATCTATTATCTCCATGGATGTAGTAACATCTTCGGGATGTTCCACATAGGCAAAGTTAGACTCATGATGGAAATGATACTTAGCAATAGCCTCAGGGGTAGCTCTGCATACGCGTGACCAATGATCATTTGATCCACAGCCGTAACACATGTCCATTTCAGTGGAAACCGATTGAACAGTAGCTTTTCCTTTGTTCTTGAAGTTTGGGGCCTTAGGAGCAAGGGGTTGGCTCTTCTGGGTTAAATTTCCTCCATTGGGTGGCCCTTGGCTCTATTGACCTTGGACCCGTGGGTGGGCTTGCCGCCCATTATCACGACCATGATGATGTTTTTATTGCATGTGCTTCAAGCGGAGTGTTCGAGCTAATGGGTCGAGGTTGATGATTTCTCGTCAAAAGCTGGTTCTACTTTTCAGCGAGAAGTAAAATAAATATCAAATCCGAAACTTTGGTGTACTTTTGTGCTCTACATTGTTGCTGCAGGACAATATTGGTGGCATGAAAGGTCGAATAAGTCTTCTCCAAGATATCTGCATCTGTTAAGTCCACTTTACAAAACTTAAGCAGTGATCTGATTCTACAAACTTCAGAGTTGTATTCATTCACAAACTTAAAGTCTTGGAAGCGTAGATGTTGCCAGTCATGTTTTGCTTCAGGCAAGTAAATGTCTTTCTAGTGATCGAAACGATCAGCCAGAGTAAACCAAAGGGTGTGTGTGTCCTCCTCAATGAGGTACTTGGTCTGCAGTACATCATGAATGTGTCTTCGAATGAAGATCATTACAATAGCTTTCTGAACTTCATCAACGTGTTTGGCATCTGTAGGTTCCTCGATGATGTCTCTAATACCTTTTTGCAGTAAGATGGAGCTTCACATCTTGAACCCACTTTAGGTAGGTACTTCCAAATACTTTCAAAGCGATAAAATCGAGCTTGTTAAAGTTCGACTTGTCCCTAAAACGAAGGGTACTATAAAACGTGGTTAGTCATATGGTAATCCATATAGATACATCATAGAACATTCAGGTTCTATACATATGTATTGGTTTAATTTAAACATGAAAGCTACAGGTTTCATATGGTAAGTTTTGAACAAAAACTTCAGGTTTCAAAGGCCTAAATATGAAACTACAAGTTCAATTTAGTTTTATGATCGATTAGTTCATAAAGGAGAGGTTCCTGCAAGAACATAGAATGCAATATGCTGACTTAAGTGTAGTGTCTTTGAGTTGCTTCGAGAACTCAAATGTGAGAGCTTCAGGACTACGAAGGGAGGTCAACGGTTCAAAGTAGAGGAATAAATTATTAAAATCGTTAATGTCCAAAAGTGATCTTCAGGTTAATAATTTTGGATTAATTATCAAATTAATGGATTACATGTCACTTTTAATTAATTCAATAGATCGGGACCAAACGGGGTCGATCATGGAAGTAAAATAATGACAGACGGCTCAGATTAGCTTTGGTTGGTGATAAACCAAGTGGTAATTAAATTAGAATTAATTAGCTTAAACCAAAGTAACACAAAAAAATATTTGGGCATGATTTATATCGCAGGGATGCCAAAAATTGGCATTGGGTCAAAAAATAAATCAACCCAACCAAAAATGGGCTGGCTACGATGTGGGGACGGGTCCTGCAGCACAACTACGAGCCATTAGGCCGTGAGAGGGCTATAGACCTTTAGGCCATGTGGCATAGGGGAGCCCAGTAGCAAAAGTTGCTGGTTTCAACCAAAAAAAAGGCACAGGGCCAGCCCAGCCTAAAGCTGGCTTGCGGGTTGGTGCGAGGAAGGCCCAGCCAAGGCTAGCTCCTGGGTTTTTGGGTAGGGGCAAGTCAAGCCCAACAGCATAAGTTGTGGGCAAGTGGGCCAAGACTTGGGCAAAGCCCATCAATAGATACGGGCTTGCTGTAAGTGAGTCTAGGGCACGGGTAAACCCAGCAAGCTACGAGCTTGTTGCATATTTGGGCCAGGGACTTAAAACGAAGCCCAACAACTCAAAAGTTGCTGGTTTTAAGCTTAGAGGACTGTGGAGCCATGGTAACCTTTACCATGCCAAAACCTAGTGTCCATGTAGGCACAACAACGCCCAAAGGGCTGCTGCCATAGTCCATATATCACAATGACATCGTTCTGACGGCGTGCTCCACGCAGCTGGGCTGCATGCCAGCTGCCACATATTTTTCATTTTTTTTTAAACATCATTAGGGTTTGAAAAACCCTAAATTGCTTCTAATTTATTTATATGTTTAAAGCATGTATATATATATATATTGTCAATATATATATATATATATCGAAAGTAAAATATAAATATAAGGGTTCATGCATCATGGTGAATGTTTTCGTGGACATTTCAAATATCTTACTTTGCTTCTAATTTATTTATATGTTTTGACTCACAAATTCCACATAACAAAACAATAATTGCATAATGCATAAAGTGTGTGTATGTATATATATTGACAAATATATGAATCATATACAATATATATATATATAGATATATCGGAAGTAAAATATAAGTATAGGGGTTTATGTATCATATGGAATGTTTTTGTGTTTCGTGGACATTTCAAATATCTTACTTTGCTTCCAATTTATTTATATGTTTTGACTCACAAATTCCACGAAACACGACAAATATATGAATCATATACAATATATATCGGAAGTAAAATATAAACATAGGGGTTCATGCATCATGGGAAAGGTTTTCGTGTTTCGTGGACATTTCAAATATCTTATTTTATTTTAAACGTACCTGATTAGCAGAAAACAAATAAAAGCTTTGAATTTTGTAAAAGAAAACTTCCTCCTACAATCCTTCAGTTCCTTAGTTTCGGCTAAGAGCATGCTGATAACGTGTTGTAGGCTTATTTGACTGAACTGTATTTAGGACTAGATAAGGAGAGAGGCCGAGGGCAAGAGAAAGAAAAGAGATTTAATTGTGAGGTATAAGTTGTATCATCTCATTGTGTATTTATTTATAGTAATAAAATATGTTAAATCATTCGAGAATTACAACTCTACTAAATATAACTGAAACAAAAACATTTTTTTTTTTTTTTTTAAAGGCACAACTATACCAAGCCAGCTGCCAATTGCTTCGTACCGGATTATCTGGAAGCTCCTCTTCGTCATCCACTGATATCGCCATTTCTTCCTCCCCTCCAAAACCAAAACACTAGTTTCAAATCAGCACGCTTCCCCAACCTCCAGCTTCCAAAACGCAGTCGTTCAGTGCATAATGTGTATGCAACGAAATCAATGGCGAGAGTAATACCAGTGGCTATGGCGGCCTCTTTACTCCCCCACATCACTTCCCTCTCTCTCCCTCTCAAGCCCTATCTCTCGCTGACAAGTCTCCTCTTCCTCAAACCCTTCTCTCGCTCGTGCGCCGACAGCTCCCCCGGCTCCGTCAACTGCTTCGCCGTTCCCCAAACTCCACGCCCTCCAAACAGCTTGAATGGAGATGTTGGCCCTTACTTGTCCTGTTCTATGCCTCATCAGAGTCTTAAAGTCGCCGTCTTGCTTAGCGGCGGTGTCGATAGCAGTGTCGCGCTCCGCCTCCTCCATGCCGCCGGTCACTCCTGCACCGCCTTCTACCTCAAAATTTGGTTCCAAGTATGTCTGAATGAGATCCCATATCGACAATTTTAGAAGAATTGGGAAATTCTTTCTATTGGGCAGTGTAGAAACAGAGAAAAATGTGAACTTGTTGGGTTATTGATTGGATTCCTTTATTTCGGATGTTCTGATTCCGGTGTATCTGATTCTGTCTTAAAATTTTGATTATCTTGAGAATATAAATTTAAAAAAAAGCTGCTTCTGATGTGTGATTTTGTGTAGGAAGACTTTGAGAACTTTTGGTCAGAATGCCCATGGGAAGAAGATTTGAAGTATGCAAATGCTGTCTGCAATCAGGTCACTTTATTTCACTTGCAATCTCTTTTTCTAAACTACCAACAGAAGTGGGGTGAAAATAATTTGATCTTTAATTTTATTTTTCTGAATGAGACTTCACTATGAGTGTTCACATTTTCTGGGATGCTGAGTTCCAAACACAGACATGCACACATCACACACACAAGCGGCACAACAAATGCACCAACCCTTTTGAAGTTCATTTTGGTTCTTGGGTTTATGTATCCTCATTTTCCATCCATCTGCCTTATATATGTGAATCGAATCCCATATGTACACGTGTTTGTCAGGAACCTTTTGCTATTGTTTGTGATAGAAGAGCTTTATGTTGGTTTCTGGTATAGGTTATGCAAACGGGGGGTGTTACAACTGAAACTAAACAACACTTGTTTACAGGTTGATGTCCCACTAGAAGTCGTGCATTTGACGGATGAATATTGGAAGAATGTGGTATGCGTTACTTTTCCAGTGTCTCAATTGTAGGTTATGTTTGAATTGTAGTCACATCTGTATGTAGTCTTTAGTAGTTTATGTTCCGTGTATCTCACGACTGTTTCATAATCTATTATTTATGCGAGCTTAAAGTTTTAAATAGTAGCAAATGTCAGTTGGTCAGCAGTGTTCCCACCCCCTTGCACTCAAGTTCGAATCACCCTTCCCCATAGATCATTGCCTTTGTCAAAACAAAAAAAGAAGCTTTAAATGAATAATTATATTACCGGCCAGTCTTCATCATCAGCTTCCTTCTTATTGGGTTACTGGAAGAAACTTTTGAAGTCCCATCATGTTTCAGGTATCCTACATTATTGAAGAGTATCAATGTGGCAGAACTCCTAACCCAGATGTTCTTTGCAATACAAGAATAAAGTTTGGTAAGCAATGACTTGAATTTAAGATTTAGTTCTGACTCTTATGATGCAGAATCGAAATTTTAGTTTTTTGTTTCTTCAAGTTTATATAAACTGTCAGGTTCATTCATGGATGCCATCAGCAGTATGAAGTTTGATCGTGTGGCATCTGGGCATTACGCAAATGTTGCCCACCCACCTGCAAGTCAAACGGACAAGGATTCGGTTCTAGAACTATCACAAGATATGGTACCTATATTTGATAAACATTTGAAAACTTTTATTTTTGTCATTTTGTCATTTTTGGATTATCAATCTTGGCTTGCTAAACTTGTTATGTTTGATATTATCTCATTTCATATTCAAATAGGGTTTTCTGCTTTGTCGACATGTGTGTTAGTTTTACTGTGACCAGACATCCTCTTATATATTCTTTCTGATATGATAAGCCTTGAAACATCACAGTATTGCATCTCATTGCCTGCTATATTTTTATGTTGATTTTTCTTTCTAAATAGCATCAAACTTCTGAATTTCTAGGTGAAGGATCAGACGTACTTCCTTTCACATCTTTCTCAGGCCCAGCTTAAGAGATTAATATTCCCACTTGGTTGTCTGTCAAAGGTCAGTGGGTACTAGTTTGAATGCTATGCAATACTTAACTTGATACTTCTCTTAGCTAATTGTAAAATGTGCTAATCTGTTGAATTTTGAATATTTCTTGAATCACAAATTCAGCTGGGAGGTAAAGCATGTATTGTCTATAAATATTGGAAAGTCTCACCGTTAGTGTATTAGTTCTCCAATAATAGTATAATACACAGAAATGAAATGATATTGTTACCTTGTTGTGAATTTGTGAAAATGTGTAGTTTTCTTTCTTGTAATTTGTAGTCTCTGCTTCGTTATATTCTTTCTTTATGTTATGCAACATAATTAGTAAAGTCACGTATAATACACGTGCTTATGCATTTTTCAGAAATATTTACCTTCCGTAGTTTTGTTGTGTTTTGCTGTGTCTTCTTTGTACACGTTTTATTGATTTGTTAAATTGCATGTTTTTTTTTAAAATGCAACTATGATAAACGTAATTTTCACGTTTAATACACATTATTTAGACACACTTTTCAATAGTACACAAAATTTATGTATTTAATTCTTATTTTTAACATATTATTTATAAACGAAAGCAAATAAATTTTAAAATTTTAAAAATGGCCGAAATTTTCAAAGCATCTTTCTAGCAAAGTTGCTGAATAATACATGTACATATTTTCCACGTACTATACCCGTTCCGTAGTTTACTAACTATGTTATGTAATCCTTTTAATTCATTTTTTGTTATTTTCAGTCCATTCTGTAGACTCTTTACTCTTTTATACTGATTCCTTTCTCTAAATATTTCTGTAGGATGAAGTTCGCAAACTTGCAACAAAGTTTGATCTGCCTAACAAAGACAGAAAGGATTCACAAGGAATATGCTTTCTAGGGAAGGTATGCCTTGTGGAAGATAATTTCATCTCTTGAAAGGCACAACTACCTATGGGGGTGCCAAAATTTGTATGGTAGAACTTGGAGTGGATTTGATTCTTTATGGGTTTACTTGAGTGACCATTTTAAAATTCCTAACGTCAGTCACTCGGATTTTTTTGTTTTTGTTTTTTAATATAGATCAAGTTCAATGAATTTATCGCAAGACACATAGGGGAGAACAAAGGTGTCATATTGGAAGCTGAGTCAGGAGATTTCCTAGGAAATCATCGGGGGTTTTGGTTCTACACAATTGGTCAACGACAAGGTCTACGCCTTCCTGGAGGACCCTGGTATGCTGATCACTTCTAATGTTTTTTGGTGATACTTGTGCTGTTGTCGTTTTAATCCTAAATCTGGTCATTTGGGAAGCAATAATTGCAATATTACAGTGGTTATCTGACAACTTTTTTGTTATACTCAATACGTTTTAAATTGCCATATGGTTTGGAGATCCGTATCCTACTGTGTATAATATTAAGGATGATAATGACTTTTATTTCATTATTTCTGCTTGAGATAGCTACTAAAATCCTGGTGGATATTCCCACAAAATGTGATTGTGCCCTTGTAGAATGGATACTTTTGAAAGGATGGTTCTGATGAGGTATTTGTATAATTAGGTTGGTTGTGCCTACCTACATATTTACGGTCATGAACTGGTCAGCTCTGCTTGACCTGTCAAAATGGGGCCTGAAGCTGGTCCATGCTCGGTGTTGTCTGCCATCAACCAGTCAATGGGCAACATTCGTTCAACTTACTACCTAAATTTAGGGATCATGCCCTACCAGCTTAAGGGCCAATGGGCGTCTAGTGGCGTAGCACATTGGGTTTGAGTTAGTGATAAGATCACTGCTATCAAATGAGATAATTTGGATAGTTTAGATCACTTCGAGGGGATCTGACCTCCTAATACTTACATACCGAGATAATTGTTTATTTTCACCATGCTGCTATACTGCATTTAAAACACCATTTTATAGGCAGGCTCATACTCAAATTAGCATAAATAATACCGATAGACACTAATTGAAAACACAAATGACACTGCTGGAAATACCAACAGAACCCTAATATATCATAATAATGATACTCATAATTATCGTAACAGTTAGGTATGGTCTTTGTCCAATTACTCTGGATATTATAATGAAATAAATGTTCAAACTCAAAATAGAAGAATTATCATGATTAACTTTACCTATTGATCAGAGTAGCAGATATTGTTTTGTAAAGGTAGACTCTCAGGATGATTCCATTTAAGCACGCACTAAAACATTTTTTCCAAAAGTAGAATCATTGAAAGCAAAGGTTTGCAACATATTTTTGTTATTCAAAACATGAGACTATTCTTACATTTTTCATCTAGAAATTCAACCATGGATGATATCAAATGTTTAACGTGTGTGCATTAACTATGCTGTATCCTTCTTTATTCAGAATCAAAATTAGTTTATGTTTGGGTCTCCTTGTACCACTTCAAACAGGATTTTCAGCTTTACTGTCTGTGGTACCTTCTTATGCAGGTATGTTGTTGAGAAGGATATAAAAAACAATGTAGTTTTTGTGTCAAGAAATTACTTTTCAGACGAAAAAAGAAGGCGCCTGTTTCGTGTTGGCTCCTTGAAGTGGCTAAATGGTCTGCCCCCAAACCAGATCAGTCAGCTAGAGTGTAAGGTACAAGAATTAAAATTTGATCTGTTATTCCTGTTATATTTACTTTCTGTATATAAGTTTTTCAAAATGCAATGCTAATATTTTGCGACCAGTGTTTGTGAGTAAATATTGGTCTAAAACGAATCTTATACATGATTTCCTCTGTAGTATTGAACTCAAAGATCTCAATATTATCAAAATGCTACATCACCATATGCATACTGACCACGTTGCTGACCACAAGTGGGTCCACTGCTACTAGAGACGTGGTCCACTTTGTAGACGTTTAATGTGGTATAAAATATAAATAGTTCTGTTGAGGAATTATCTGTTTTCTCATCGTTCCAAAGGGAAAAAAGAGATTATCTGTACAAATGAAAAGTATATGGTTCTAGCCTAGAGTTGTTACATGCTTTCTTTTCGTTTCATCTTGTTTTTTCTTTGCCTTTTAGTTTATCTTGTCCTTTCTTTTGTTTAGAGTTTTGAAAGAAAGACATAGTTCATGTTAATGGCAGTCTGATAAGTGATGACTTTCTTGACTGCAGCTTAGAAAACATGCCACTAGTTTTAGTTGTGGGTTTAGGGTTGGAACTTGCACTTGGAAGCACTTAGAAGTTATTGTACCACATTCATCGCATAAAAGTCTTACATCAAGTTTTAATTAGACGTGGACCAATGTGTCACATATGGTTTTGGATGTTGATAAATCTCGCGAGGAAGGGTCACAAGGAAAGCTTTGAACCATGCATGGTTTGTAGTTAGTGTTTACTGTTTAGAATCCAAGTCAGAGGGAGCTGAAATGTTTTAAACCTTTCAGGTTAGGCATGGGCCTGCTTTTTGTAATTGTTGCTTAATAATGGAACCCGGTGAAGATGGTCACGAAGATGTTGCAGTTGTCCATTTATCTCAAGATGATCAAGGCCTGGCAGCGGGGCAGTTTGCAGCCTTCTACCGGGGAAGAACCTGCTTGGGCTCCGGTGTAATTTTGGAGTCTTGGGATGATCAAGGTTTTCCCGTGTGTGCAAGAGCCCTTGAAATTGCAAGACTGGAAGATAAATCACTTCTCGGAAAACCAGTTAAGATTAAAGTAAAGCCTGAGAATGTTATAACGGAGTCTGGTGAGGCAGATGGTACCGAACTTTGTGGAGGACTGGAAAATTCTAGAATTGCTGCTGTCAAACATCCCACGCCCATGCAGGTATCTCCACGAGAAGCAACTGTGGTTTATTCCGTCTTAGCTTACTATTCTCACCACCATGTCTTTCTTATTTCATTTTCCTTTTTACAGCAACTGTCGTTTATTCCGTCATAGCTTCAGACATGCTAAAATGGAACAAGACAACATAGACATATACAGCTCACAAAAATATGGTGCAGGTGCAGGCAGCAGGATCCACAACTGTTCCAAGTAGAAAACAAATTGACGTTGATGGATCCATCTCTTAGCACATGGATACATAGGGCTACCATTTACATGAGTCAAAGCAGTCAAAGCAGAAAACAATAACACACCCATTTATAAATAATTAAGAAACCAGTCAAAGCAGCTGAATCCACACGATAAAATAATTCTTTCCGTTTGCATCTTTAGTCTATTGAATTTATATTAAGAGCTTATGTACAACAAAAAGGGTGGTTTTTTAAGTCCTAGCTATATACCATTTGCATGAGTTTTTCATATGAATTTGAGAACGATGGTTGTTTAATTGTACCCACAGAGCAATAGTAGTTGTTGGTGATGTGGCTAAAATGCACCTGCACAGGGATTCAAAATTGAGTCCTGATTGCTTGTAGCATAAGTAGAAAATGAGGTGATGCGAGGAGGCAATCTTTCAGTGATAAAGTAACTCTAACCTGATTTAGAGGATTGCTTGTGCACAAACTTGGGATTTGTGATCCTCCTGTCAACTCCACCATTGGTCATCTCAGCAATAGCTTGTTGATTTCAAAGATCAAAGTAATAAATTAGAAGGTCGTACAAAACTTAAGAGCATCTCCAAAGGAGATGTCAAAAGGTCCACATCATCAATAACAGTAACAAAAAACAGCATTATAACTTTCCAATCGAAATGTCAAATCCTACATGGCTTGACATGGAAAGGCAGCAGGAGGGGTTGCTGTCAAATTTGCCAGCAGCTTCAAATAATTTTTAATTAGTTACTAACAACATTTCATAAACCCACACTCCACCGAAATTCCCAAAAATTCCCCAAATATCCACCAATTTTAGATAATTTTACCTACCAATAGGCATAATTAATCAAATTAATGAATTTTACAAAAATAACAAAATTTATTTCTAGGGTTCCATATTTTCAAAACTCACCAAATTTCAAATTTACTTTGGGGAATGAAGTATGATGTCGACTATTGGGAAATCAACGACTCTGAAACCAACTCAAATCAAACAAGCACCATGTACTTTTCTGTGGAACCGACTGCTCACCCTTGAAACAAACTTGCCTGAGTTTTTAAACTTCTGTGTGGAAGTGCAATAAGGCCGGAGATGACAGCACAACAGAACTACGACTGGGTTTCGAAAGGCAACAAAATTTTCGAACAGTAAACAACTTTTCGACGGGAAGGATGTTTTAGGACTGGCGGGAGATCGAGAGTTTTGCGAGGAAAAGGCAAATTTAAGATGGTAACTGTTAATGTCGGGGGGGGGGGGGTGGAATTTAAATTCCAAACATTTTGAATTGATGTTGGGTACCATTTTGAATTAGTGATGGGCCATTTATGACCGAGGCTTCACCCCAAGCTCATTTTGATTGATTGTTTTCAGCCGTTCAGATTTCATCCAACGATTCACATTTGGTATGTACGGGCAGTCCACAAAACTTCATCCAAACCTTTAAAACGTGTTGCTGAGTTAGGTGTTCCGTGAGTCATACCATGCATGCATGTCCAATATGTGAACTAGCAGAGCTGTGTACACTCTAGTTGTCGAATGTATCTGCTCCAGTTCATTTCTTTCTTTATTGTTTTTATGTTTTATTAAGAGTGTATTTTTCTCACCCACATTAACCTTAATGCACGTTCACCCTACACTTATTTGTTTGTCATATGTCTCATCTCTTAATTATTAATCATTAATTAACTTCTTATCTTAAATCTATACTATATATTAAGAGAACACACCTTGTCAACCTTTTTGCCTACTTTTTCCAATTTTGCCCCTTACTTTTGAATACACAATGTTGAGATGCAGAGGGCAAAATAGTAATTTTGTTCATTTTGATAAAATGACAATCATATTCTTTTTTTTCTTATTTTTCTCTCACTTTTGATACACAATATTTACATAAAGAGGGCAAAATAGTAATTTTGTATCAAAATATTTACAAAGGATAAAAATATGCACTTATTAAGAGAAATTATCCCACCATCATTTTTTCATACATGTAAGTGAAATCATGATGTTTTTTTTATAGTTTGAATGAATTGAAGCAGTTGAGCTTGAGGAGAACGTGGAGGAAGGTGAGTGGTTGTCGTTGCGCTTGCGCTTGAAGAGAATGTGGAAGGAGGTGGGCAGTTATTCACACACAAATATATGCTCTCTGCTAGTATAAAACTAAAAATAAATATGTTCTAAAAATAAATTTTAAGTTAAAACTCATATTTGGCTAACGATTAATTGTATTTAACAATTTATAAAATAAGCATAAACCCCAAAATGGAATTGGATAAACCTCCCACCCGCCAAACGCCGAAAACGAAGTCTCACACAAAAAAATGGCAGCCCCCTCGAAGCTCTTGTGCTACAGAGGAACCACCACTTCTCCCTCTCTCTCCAAAACTCTCTCTCTCCTCTCTTCCCCATTTCCAATTCCCACATATTTCTCTCGCAGTCTCCGCACTCCTTCCCTTTCTCTCCACACTTCTCTTCACACTCTTCCTCGCTTCGTTTCCCGCCTCCCTGCCAACAAATTCAAGATCTCCTCCACAGCAGATGACCAACAACAACAAGAAGGCGATGGCGAAGAGGAGGAGGAGCTCGTTGACGAGTCCGACGGCGGCGGTGGCGAGTTATTGACGGCCGACGTCGATGACCTGGAAGAAGACGCTCGATACTTAGTTGAAGAGTTCTCTTCGTCTTTGTCCACCCAACTCAGAATTGGTGTGTTTTTTCTTGCGAATGGAAAAACCCAGTTCATAATTTGATTGCATTTGCAAAACCCAATTCGTAATTCGATCGAGTTATTCCGAAAGCTGCTGAATTTTTCCCAAAATTTCTGCTTTAAGTAGTGGGTGTCAAAATATTTATTTTAAAAAGATTTTCATTAAGAATTTTACTCCTTTAAACTTTGACAAAATAGTGAACTTGGGTTTTGGTGGAATTTTCTCGTTTAGTTTGGGATTGTTGATGGCTAAGTTTCTAATGTGTCTTGATGGTTTCAGAAGATGACAAAGATGACCAAGAAAAAGTTGGTCGAAAGCAGAGGAATCAGAAAAGTTCAGTTAAAACTGTGAGTATCTTCTCATGGTTATTTCATTATTTATTTATTCAGAAGAAACTAATGAGAGTTCATGTTTGGTTAATGCTCACGGATAATGGTATTACCGGTATCCTTCTAAAATTTTGGTGTTATTAAGATTGAGATGTCAGAACCATAAAGCATATTCGAGCTGCTATTAAGAATGAGATATCAGAACCATAAACTGTAAGAAGTTAGTTGAAACTTGTAACAGATGTAGGGTGACCGAGGTCTCCAGGCATGACCAAGCTAGTTTAAATGAGTTCAAGATCTTCACGTTACAGTGGTTACCATGCTTTCAGCACTTAGGACCGTAGGCCCTTTATCTTAGGAATTGACAAAAATAAATATACTTCACTTGAAAGATCATAAGTAGGTGGGACTTCAAAAAATTACTGCAGCCATTGTTTTGATTATTCGTTTTTCGCAAATAGGTATCATGAGCAATTTTTTGGAGTGAGACTTTGCATGTGCCCTCAGTTCTGTTTATCTTATACTTCTGGAGAACTTTATTATATTTTTCTTTTTATATTCCAAGTGTACTGTTGATTATAGGATCAAAATCAAATATTATTTTCCAATGATGTAAGTTGGGGAGTCATTGTGTTGGAATGAAGGAAAACAATAAGTCTCTAAACCATTCAAATTTCAATTACAGATCCCTGACCATCTTCTTCCAAGGGTTGCAATTGTTGGAAGACCGAATGTTGGCAAATCAGCATTATTTAATCGTCTTGTCTCGGTACTTACCAGAATCTGCCCTTTCATTTTCTAGTCATCATCAATTCTTTTATACAATTAACAATTTCAAGCTTCCAGATGTAACCATATCTATGTTTGTACCTCTATAAATTGACTTCCCCTTTGCTTTGCTTTCCTTTTCCTATTTCTATATTTGTTATGTATCTCAGGGGAACAAGGCAATTGTAGTGGATGAGCCAGGGGTTACTAGGGATCGCCTGTATGGTAGATCCTTTTGGGGTGACCATGAATTTATGGTGGTGGATACTGGTGGTGTACTTACAGTTTCAAAGTCCCAGGCTAATGTCATGGAAGAATTAGCTATTTCAACAACCATTGGTATGGATGGAATCCCACTTGCCTCAAGGGAGGCAGCTGTTGCTAGGATGCCCTCAATGATAGAGAAACAAGCTACTGCAGCTGTTGAAGAATCATCTGTCATTATATTCCTCGTTGATGGCCAGGTACAGTTTTTGGTAACTACATGCAGGACAACTGCAATGTACCTTTTAGTTTTGGCTTTCGGCTTCTTTGTGTTGAAAAAGAATATAACCTTAAATTCCTTTGAAATTCTAAATATATTCATATTCAAGCATTGGCAAGTGTTAACTTTTTAAAAGTTAACAAGTACATTTTAATATTGAAAATACTGAATAAAGTTGATCGTAGAAATTGTACAATAGTATAAAATATACACATGATACGGGTTTACGATAATAAGGTGGAGGAAGTCATTTGACCTTTTTTTTTTTTTCAAGACTTGACTTTTGGATGTCATTAAATAGCTTGGTTTTGGCGATCTTTGTGAAAGACTTTTAAATTTCTTTTAAGTGCCATTCATTTGATTGGTGGGACTTTGAGTTGAGTGCAACGTGGTTTTGCTTGAGTTATGTCGTTTTGATTATGATGGATTTTCCCATCATGCTACTTGTACTGTTATTCCTTTTTTCTTTTTTCTTTTTTTTTTGACAAAATAGGTATTGATATTCCCAAGAGTAGTTGAACTTGTCAAAAACTGTTCATGAGGTTGAGCAATATGATTACAAAAGTTCCTAAAACTTTGTTTTCGATTGATAACCATTTTATATTGTTTCAATGTCTTTACAATGATAACCATATTGTACAGATGATATGAGTTTATATAAGTATGTATTTGAACTTTTGAAGGTTTTTAAATTAAAACATACTTTGGTGAATATTGGGTTTATAATAGTAAAGATTTTAGTACATGGTATTGACAGTGTTAAACAGGCAGGTCTAACTGCAGCAGATGAGGAAATTTCAGATTGGCTACGTAAAAACTTCTCAGATAAGTACATCATTCTTGCAGTTAACAAGTGTGAATCTCCACGTAAAGGGATCATGCAAGCATCAGAATTTTGGTCATTGGGGTAAGCTAAACTCTTGTCCATTTTGTTCACGTATGTTACTTTACTAAATTTTGAGAAAAGGGTTCTGGTTAAATGTTTTTATTTTCTTGTAAAAAGTAAAACTGATAAATAGTACTGTCTTCAGGGTACCTTGGTTTTTCTTCAATACATAATAACATAGGATTGGATAGTAAATTTTTCTATTTCTTTCTTACTACACCTGGGGTGTGGATTATAGGTGTAGGATTGTGCTAAGGTGATGCATGATAGCATTATCCTGGGTGTAAATATTTTTTTTTTTTGTTATGTCTGATACACTTTTCACGGATATAGTCTTGTAAATGTTTCAATTTAGCCCTGCTTTATTACCAACTTGGACAAGACTCTAAAGACACAAGAAAAAGGGTAAATAATCAAAAGGAAAATTTGACATATCTCGCAAGTTTCAAGCTGTACTAATCTGTTTGTTTATAATTAGGCTTGTGAATATTGAACTATCCTGATAAGAAAAAACAAGAACTAATGCTAGGATAAATCTTTATTGTTCCGATAAAAAAAAACTCAAGACAAATTTCAATTCTCTAGTGGACACAGAATAGGATACTAATATTAATTTATGAACAATTCTCTAGTGGACACAGAATAGGATACTAATATTAATTTATGAAAGGTACGGTTTTTGGTTGGTTGACCAGGTTTTCACCACTTCCTATATCTGCTATATCTGGAACTGGAACTGGAGAGCTTCTTGATCTTGTGTGTTCAGGGCTGAAAAAGAATGAGGTTTGTATCAGTAATCACAGAAATTTTAATGTGGGTATATTAATAATTAAGTTTGACTGTCTTTTGTTGAATATTGAATTTCAATTGCCAATTGGCTTTGGCTTAACTTTGCCACATATTACTCACTTTTCAGAGTACTATGAGCTTGTGAGTGAACTTTTCAGTTTCAATAGTAGAATCTTTTCATGCTTCTTGTTCTTTACTTGAATTTTTTGGTGCTTTTCGTCATCTATTAAGCCCAAAGATGAATTTCTTACCTTGTTTTATGAATATTTTCATTTCTTTATGATTTAGTTTATTATGCTTCTATATAGGACCCGGAGGATTTTGCTGAACAGGAAGAGTATGTTCCTGCAATTGCAATTGTTGGCCGACCAAATGTTGGTAAAAGTAGCATTTTGAATGCATTGGTTCGAGAGGACAGGACAATTGTTAGCCCAGTCAGTGGAACAACCCGTGATGCTATTGATATGGAATTTACTGGACCAGATGGACAGGTTTGATTGGTTTACAATTTACATTCTACTATACCACCTATTGTTGACAGTTATTACAAAAATCTGTTATGTAACATAATTAATCTGAAACTGAAGAATCAGCGAATAACACTTCAGATTCGGTGATTTTAATACCATTATTTATCTCCATATTAACTGACGTTATATATAAGTTTCCTTTTTGGATTTCTGCCTAGGAATGTCGAGAGACTTTGTAATGAAATCAATGATTAGCAAAACTTTGACTGCATACTTGTATGTCGAGACTGAACCATGAATCTGATCTCTAGCATAAGCTGTTCATTTACTTGAATTTCATTATTCTTCTTTTACTGAATTCAAGTACTGATTTTGTTGACTGAATCATGGAATTGGGTCTACAAAAGAGCCTTGCCACTTTCAAGTTGTTCAAGCTCAGATAGCTAAAGCTTGTTCGTTTATTTTCCTCTGCCTATTGGTGTGTGCTTTTATGCAGGATTTTCATTCTGTTTGGTATTGACACATGGAAATTATTCTAACAGTAGGCGGTCTAGAAATTAATTCTTTGCCGATAGATATATCGAAATCCTTTTTGCCTCTCTTTTAACTTCTCTGTCTTATCTGTTTTCCCCTTCCCTTTGTCTTCTTCTCTTTCTCTCCATCTTCTCCTTCTGTCTATTGATTCTGCATCTTGATCCTAGGAGTTGCATCAAGGCCAATTTTGAGCCTGTTTACGCAAGCTCCAAGTGTAGGTACAGCTCTGTTATCGACATACCAAGCCGAGCTCAAACAAGTAATAGCTTGGTTCGGATCAACTTATATGCACTCCTAATTAGGATCCTAAAGCTATTTTGGTTCACATGCTTGAAATATTAGCGGACAACTGTCAGAACAATTATCTATTACTGATTCCCTCTTGATGTTAAGACAATACATTATTGATATTCAAATTTACTTGGATACTTATAATTGCAACATTATTTTTTTTTCTTATCTTGCAGAAATTCAAACTAATTGATACTGCTGGAATCAGAAGAAGAGCCGTCGTTGCTTCATCAGGTAGCATGACAGAGGCTTTATCAGTAAATCGAGCATTTCGTGCCATTCGTCGTTCTGATGTTGTGGCTCTTGTCATTGAGGCCCTGGCTTGTATCACAGAACAGGTACTTTGTCCATTCTTCTTGAGTTATCATTTCTGTAAATATCTGAGAACATGCCTACAGTTTCCTGCCTGCATGTGCGCATGGTTACAAAAGTACAAACTAAGTCAGATATTGATTAATGTTTGAAACTTTTGTTTGTACAAATCCAAGACATTAATCACATCCAAGCGAAACCAAAATTTGAAAAGAAAAATCAAGTTAAGGTGGACAAACTTCTCAAAATAATCATGATATAACTTTATGGATGTTTTAGCTATATGCTGAATCTTTTTCACAGGAGGATTTCTCCATTTTCTAGGAATCTCAGCTCGTCTTTTCTGGTATAGTAATTGTAACAAAAATACTGTGTAAATGGAATCACATTCCTCTCCATACCCTAGCAGATTTGAAAGGCAGTTTCATTCATGCCAATCTAGCACTTTGCACATGTGATGCATGTGAACTGAAATAGAATTTCTATTGAGCTTAAGGAAGTTGCGGTTTTCTTGAAACGATTTGAGCTTTTTGTGCGCCTTCTTGGTGGCTGTTCTAGTTTTATCTTGTCGGTGGTTTTAAAATAAGTTTCGATGAACAAACTTTTGCATATTGTATTTCTCTAAATCTTCAAGAGTGAAAAAAGCTTTTCTTTTCTCAATTTTTAAGGATTTTAATTTTATTTTTGTCGGTATAGCTTCTATATAAAATTTGAAATTTAAACGGCATCTTGGAATTTCAATGAAATGAGATGTTTACTTTCCACAAGTAGATTTCTTTTAACTATATTTCCTTCCGTATTGAACTCCTAGGATTGCAAGATTGCTGAGAGGATAGAAAGAGAAGGCAAAGGTTGCCTGATAGTTGTAAACAAATGGGATACCGTACCAAATAAAAACCAGCAGACTGCAACATACTATGAGCAGGATGTCAGGGAGAAGCTTCGTATCCTTGGTTGGGCACCTATTGTATATTCAACTGCAATAGCTGGTCAGAGTGTTGATAAGTACGTTCTGAAACAGCATCTCTTTTATATCTTAACTTGCATCATAGTTGCATTTGTTAGTTTTTGGCTCGTCAATTTGTGTCCTTTTCTGTTTAGGATTGTTTTAGGGAAAAGGGTGCACCAATTCTTCTCCTAAAAGGGCTAGGAAAGAATCTTAGTTTCCTTATTCAATTTAGATTAGAAATCCTAGAAGTCTATTTGGAATTGGAAAGGAAGTCTAATTTCCTATTCCACTTAGAATAGGAATTATAATCTGTAAAGGACATGTAAGCCAACCCTATATCTATAAATAGGGTGCGGCAAGGCTGATTTTCAGTAGAGAGAAAACAGCCAAACAGCAGAGAGTTTTGAGATTAGTTCTAGGGTTTGCATAAGTTCTGTAATCTCTATTATTAATCAAAGAAGCGGTGATTTCTCTACCTAGGGAAATCACAACTGGACGTAGGCATAAGTTCTGCCGAACCAGTATAATTCTTGTGTGTTTCCAAGTTTTCTATATTTGCTAGTTTAGTCTATTGCCGTTGGTTACATCAAAGAACAAGGTCCAGTGTGCGGGTTTTTTCAACAATTGGTATCAAGAGCTAGGATCAAGGTGTTCTACGATGTTAAAAGGGAAGATGAATGCGGATCAAGGACCTGCGTTAAAACCCTTTGACGGTAAGGATGACTTCACGGACTGGCAAAGGATGATGAAGAACGTACTGATACAGCAGGATTTGGATGATGCACTTGATGGTAAGAAGCCGGAAAGCATGACAGAAGCAGCATGGAATAAGGTTCTCAAGAAGGCCAAGAGTTCCATCGAGATCCATCTCACAAGATCAGTTCGGTCACACATCATCGAAAAGATGTCTGCCCAGGAAGCGTGGGAAAAATTGGAGAATGTTTATATGGGCAAAACCGTGTCCAATAAACTTTTTCTAAAGGATGAACTATTCGGGCTTCGACTAGAAGAAGGAGGTGATATTGAAGATCACGTATGCAGGTTCCAGAATTGCATAGCTAATCTTCAGAAAGTCGAAGAAACTTACAAAGATGATGATATGGCTATCATCCTGCTAAGGTCTCTACCTTCGTCTTTCAAGCACTTTCGAACAACTCTAATGTTTGGAAAAGAGTCCTTGAAGCTTGAAGACGTAATTCAAGCTCTTCAGTCATATGCTAAACTAGATGATATAACTGAAAGCTCTCAAGGCCTTTATGCCAAAGGCAAGGAGAGGGGGCGGGAAAAGACAAGGGAAGAGAAAACTGGCAACAGAGGTAGGTCAAAATCCAAGAAGAAAAAGGAAAAGAAGGAAGGTTGCTTCGAATGTGGTTCAGCCGATCATTGGAAGAGGAACTGCAAGATTTGGAAAGAAAAGAAAGCCAAGATGGAAGGAAGCTCAGGTTCCGCTAGTGCAGTCACCGAACATGAGAGTGACGGGGAACTTCTTTCGGTAACATCGGGCTCCAAGGCTTTCAATTGGATTTTGGATACTGGATGCACGTTTCATATGTGTGCAGTAAAAGAATGGTTCGATACTTACAAAGAAGTCAGCAGCGGGGAAGTCTTAATGGGGGATGATTCTTCATGTCCTGTAAGAGGAATCGGCACTGTTCGAATCAGAATGTTCGATGGGATGATACGAGCTCTGGGGAACGTCAGGTATGTCCCTAGACTAAGAAAGAATTTGATTTCCTTGGGTACTTTAGATGAGGCCGGTTATGGGTACAAGTCTAAAAAAGGAAGACTCAGGGTAACCAAAGGATCGCTAGTGGTAATGCGGGGTGACCTACAACCCAATAAGTTGTATAAGTTAATTGGGACCACTATAGTCGGGGGAGCAGCTGTTTCTGTAAATCAAAGTATAGAAGACAAGACTGAACTATGGCATCATAGGCTCGGGCACATAAGCCAGAAGGGATTGCAAGAATTACACAAGCAAGGCCTGTTGGAAGGCGTGTCAGCTTGCAAACTGGACTTTTATGAATACTGTGTTCTTGGGAAGCAAAGAAAGGTATCATTCGCAAGTAGCAGTGCAGATAGCCGAAGTAAGGAGCAACTCAGCTATATTCACTCAGATGTTTGGGGTCCTGCTCCAACTAAATCAAATGGTGGAGCCAGGTATTTTGTTACTTTCATGGATGATTTTTCTAGGAAGGTTTGGATTTATTTCATGAAGCAGAAATCCGAGGTTTTTGCAAAGTTCAAGGAATGGAAGACTGAGACCGAGAATCAAACTGGAAGAAAGATCAAGTATCTGAGAAGTGACAATGGAGGTGAATATACAAGTAATGAGTTCACCGATTACTGCAAGCAGGAAGGCATCATAAGGCACTTCACAGTAAAGAAGAATCCCCAACAAAATGGAGCTGCTGAGAGGATGAACCGAACTCTCATGGAGAGAGAAAGGAGCATGCGATTTCATGCAGGATTGCCTGATAGTTTTTGGGCAGAGACTGTTAATCATGCAAGTTATTTGATTAACAGATCACCATCTACAGTTCTCGATTTTAAGAGTGCAGAAGAGGTATGGTCTGAGAAGCCGGTGGATTATTCCAAGCTCAGGGTGTTCGGCTGTAGTGCTTATGCACATATTCCAAGTGATGAAAGGTCCAAGCTAAAACCGAAGTCTATACTTTGCATATTCCTAGGCTTTGAGAAAGGAGTGAAGGGTTTCAAGCTTTGGGATTTCAACAACAGGAAAAAGGTTGTCAGTCGAGATGTTGTCTTTGATGAGACAACCATGCCTCTGAATAAAGTCGAGAGCAGTAGGGAGAAGAAGGATGATGCTGAAATTGAAGCAACAAAGATTCCGTTAATCAGTTCAGATGAAGAAGAAGCTCAGGTGGAGCAAATTGAGCAAGAGGCCGAATCTGATGGTTTTGAGGAAGAAGAAGAGCATCAGCATCATTCACCAGTTAGGAATCAGGTGGAGCAAGAAACAGGACAGATTGAAGGTACTCCAATCCGCCAGATATCCCAAAGGAGTCAAACTCCACCCAACAATCCACCTGCATTCCAAAGATGCATAGCACTGGACAAACCTAAGCGGAACAAGAAGAAACTTGACAGGTTTGGGTTTGACCAAAACGAAGTTAATTATGCTCTTAACATTAGTCAAGGAGATCCGACTACTTATCGAGAAGCTATAGCAAGTGATGAGCGAGATAGTTGGATAAGTGCTATGACAGAGGAAATGGAGTCTCTTTACAAGAACTCTGTTTGGGAGTTGGTTCCTAAACCCAAAGACAGAAAGCTAGTTGGATGCAAGTGGGTATTTAGAAAAAAGGAAGGACTACATGAACAAGATACCGTGAGATTCAAAGCAAGGCTCGTGGCTAAGGGGTACTCACAAAAGGAAGGGGTGGATTATGATGAGATCTTTTCACCTGTAGTCAAGCATACTTCTATCCGATTGCTTTTAGCAATGGCAGCTCAACATGACATGGAGATTGAGCAGATGGATGTGAAGACAGCATTTCTTCATGGGGATTTAGAGGAGACGATATTCATGGCTCAACCAGAAGGGTTTGTTGAATACGGGAAAGAAAACCTAGTATGTCAGCTAAGGAAGTCCCTGTATGGCCTGAAACAGTCTCCAAGACAGTGGTACAAGAGGTTTGATTCATTCATGCTGAAAATTAATTTTAGAAGGTGTTTGTATGACTGTTGTGTGTACTATCATGTGTTCCAAGATGGGATGATCATATTGCTATTGCTATATGTGGATGACATGTTAATTGCTTGTCAAGACAAGTCTAGAATTCAAGACTTGAAAAGGATGTTGAGCGAGGAGTTCGACATGAAGGATCTAGGTGCCGCACAGAAGATCCTTGGCATGGAAATTCAGAGAGATAGGACCGCTGGAAGGATTTGGATATCACAAGCCAAGTATATTCAGAAGGTTCTTGAGAAGTTCAACATGCAAGAAGCAAAGGTAGTTTCGACTCCTTTGGCAGCTCACTTCAGGTTAAGTGGACAACAGTGTCCTACGTCCGAGGAAGAGCAACAAGAAATGAAGAAGGTGCCTTATGCTAATGCCGTGGGCTGCCTCATGTATGCAATGGTATGCACACGTCCTGACATAGCTCAAGCAATCAGTGTCGTTTCCAGATACATGGCAAATCCAGGAAAGCAACATTGGGATGTAGTCAAGTGGATTTTGCGTTATTTGAAGGGTTCTTGGCGACAAAGGATTATGTTTGAGAAGCAAAAGGAAAATGCAGGGGTGTTAGGATATGTGGATGCCGATTATGCAGGGGACTTGGACAAGAGAAGGTCAACTTCTGGTTATGTGTTTACATGCGCAGGAGGACCAATCAGTTGGAGGGCACTACTGCAACCAATTACAGCTTTATCGACCACAGAGGCAGAGTATATTGCATTGGCCGAAGCTGGAAAGGAAGCAATTTGGCTTAGTGGCTTGGTAAGTCAAATGGGAATCACTCAAGATTGTGTGAAGCTTAAGTGTGATAGTCAAAGTGCCATTCACTTGGCAAAGAATCAGGTTTTTTCTGGAAGATCAAAGCACATTGAAGCAAGGTATCACAGAATCAGAGATTGGGTGGAGTCTAAGGAAATTTGGATTGAAAAGGTTCATACGGATGACAATGTCACAGATTTCCTTACAAAGATAGTGCCGGCCAAGAAGTTCAAGCATTGTTTGAACTTGATCAATCTCGTTGATTGATTAAAGTGGAGCACCTCCTCACCTGAGGTGCAATGAGGCAAGAAGGAGGTTGCCAAGGTGAAGACTCTTGAAGTTTTCCAGAGTTACTTCAAGAAGGTTCAAAGATACTCTGGGGTGCAAACGATCAAGACTTGGTTTGACTCACCAAGGTGGAGATTGTTAGTTTTTGGCTCGTCAATTTGTGTCCTTTTCTGTTTAGGATTGTTTTAGGGAAAAGGGTGCACCAATTCTTCTCCTAAAAGGGCTAGGAAAGAATCTTAGTTTCCTTATTCAATTTAGATTAGAAATCCTAGAAGTCTATTTGGAATTGGAAAGGAAGTCTAATTTCCTATTCCACTTAGAATAGGAATTATAATCTGTAAAGGACATGTAAGCCAACCCTATATCTATAAATAGGGTGCGGCAAGGCTGATTTTCAGTAGAGAGAAAACAGCCAAACAGCAGAGAATTTTGAGATTAGTTCTAGGGTTTGCATAAGTTCTGTAATCTCTATTATTAATCAAAGAAGCGGTGATTTCTCTACCTAGGGAAATCACAACTGGACGTAGGCATAAGTTCTGCCGAACCAGTATAATTCTTGTGTGTTTCCAAGTTTTCTATATTTGCTAGTTTAGTCTATTGCCGTTGGTTACATCAAAGAACAAGGTCCAGTGTGCGGGTTTTTTCAACAGCATTCTTCAGCTAACTTCTTGTAAACCCCAAGAATTCGTTTCATATTTGCTGATATTTTTGGCTTGTGGAGTGGCTTTAGGATTATTGATGCTGCTAGCACAGTTGAGAAAGAAAGATCACGAAGGCTTAGTACTTCTGTAGTAAACCAAGTGGTCCAGGAAGCACTAGCTTTTAAATCACCACCGAGGACACGAGGTGGCAAAAGAGGCCGCATTTATTACTGCACTCAGGTACTTGTTTTGTGCAGGACTCTTACATTCCTGTTCATTACATATCTTCCCAAGTGACACCCTTGTTTATGCAAACTTTGGATGTTACCGTCCACAAGATTACGAGAAGTTATTGGAATAAACATGCCTATCTTTATGGTAGTATCTGTTCTTTTGAACTTGCATTGCCTGTCATAAACAACATATCCGGTATTTTCTTATGAACATAGCAATAGATTGTGTATTTACTTTGTTTCATGTACAGGCAGCTATAAGGCCGCCAACATTTGTGTTCTTTGTCAATGATTCAAAACTTTTCCCCGAGACATACCGGCGTTATATGGAGAAGCAACTCCGTTCAGATGCTGGGTTTTTAGGCACTCCAATTAGGCTTCTATGGTCTAACAGGAGAAAAACAGAAAAAGAGGAAGGTCAGTTCTGATATAGCCTGTTGTAACGCTCACACATACATTTTTCTTGCATGCGTGCCTACATGAATTTATTTGTTTTTGAGATGATTGAATGCCGAAGAAGACAAATAATCACCTTTGAGGACCGTAAAATCATATGTTTGCAGGAAGAGCTGCAATGCGAGCACAGGCAAATCTTGTGCCAAGTGACCGAAAATTGGAGTTAGCTACATGAAGCATTTGTCATATCATCTCATAACCAGCAAGGGATTTGTTTTGGAAAGGCTTTGTCCACAGGGGAAACTAGTTAATATCAGATGCCGAAGTAAACTTGCAATGTGGTTGATGTAAAACTGTTCTCCAGTTCATGCTTCGGACTTGGTAGTAGGAAGAATTTTGGATGCAACCAACCCATCCTACGGAAAAGGACTGTAATTTCATGTATGTACCCAAGTTTTGATGGCTTGGACCTGTAAGTTAGGCCTTTGAATTGTAATTTGAAATCAATGTAAATAACAAATATGATACGAAGATCCAGACGTAGAGGATGTCATCGATGATCAGCACATGCTTAATCCCGTCTCCTCCTGATCCCGTCTCCTAAACTATTTAGACATTTAACATCGATATGTTGTGTTCCATTAACTAATGGCTTCAAGGGAAATGAAAGTTAAACTTAACCAAATGGTTTTGACATGTATATGCGATAACCTATCAAATGCTGATGAAGGTGAGAAATGAAGGAATTCCACTTCCAGGCAGATATATTTTGACGATATTAGAGGTAGCCTTCTTATGAAACATGGCCATCAGATTCCGTCTGAAGCCGATTATGTGCAGAAACCTGAGATCGAAAACTTGGTAAAGGAAATACTAACTTCTGGCATGTATTATCCGGGCAGAGCCAGGCAGCAGTCTTGTTGCTTCTTCGGGCCTGTCCTATTGATTCACGGTTGAACAAGTTCAGCTCATTCCTGGCTACAATCATCGATTCATAAGAATAAAAACAACAATAACAAAGCCTTATCCCACCAAATGGGGTTGGTTGTATGAATCCTAGAACGTCATTGATCTCAGTGTTGTGCCATGTCTTCCGTTAGATCCAAGTACTCCAAGTCTTTTCTTAGAGTCTCTTTCCAAGTCTTCTTGGGTCTTCCTCTACCCCTTCGGCCCTGAACGTTTGTAGGCCTTCGTTTCACATATCCAAACATAAGAATAAAAACAAAGATGCTTTCGAAAAAATATGTTCCTTCTGTTTAAACTTCTCAAGTCTCACTCAAATAATTTGAACAAATGTAGTTTAGGAAAAATAATAAAAGACGATAGTCAGTCCCGAAAGGAATTTATGACAAGAATGTATGTAAATGTGGAGGTTCTGAAACTGATTGAATCTGAAAATCAGAGATACTTGGCCAACCAAGGTAGCTCCTTGTTGTCTTTGAGTGCAAACGCCACATCGTCACTGAAACGCAGACATTTCAAAATCATGTCAGCAGCGAGGCCGTTGCAACTTCTAAGGTCACGAAAGCCTACGGACTAGCAACCTGAGTCTAACCGGTTGCTGCAATGCTAGGACTGGACAGTGGACAGACAAACTAACCTTGGAAAGTTGAGCTGCAACTTCTGCAACCTGTGCTTTGCTCCTGATTCACACAAAATAATTCTGCATTCGCCGAGCTTACAACTGCCAAAAACAATACAAATGAGATATATCACATAATGTAAGTATAAAAAAACTTAATTGGTGCCAACTCTGGAAATTAAACTCTAATCGTTCGTTCTCAGTGAATATTCTTTAAGAAGACAATTGCAGATACAAATAACATCATCCTTTTGCAAGGATCAGTCTGAACAAAGGGCCTCAGTCATAAATGTTACGTCCAAAATACGCAAGAAATGAAAACACTTGTTTTAAAACGGAATATATCATATTTTGACCATTGCTCCAAATGAAAGGCCTATGAATAAGCTTGGGATTGCGCTAAAAAGTTTGTAAAACTCGCAATATTCTCTTAGTCAAAAGCCAAAACTGGTGCAGTTGGACAAATACTCACAAGACAATAAGAAACAGAGGAGATCAATAAACAACTATGTTCCTACGTATGAATGTATGTAGAGAAGAATTAAAATCATAACACGTCTTACCCTATCCTTAATAGTGTGTCATGTCCAGGAAATGCTTCTCCATTGCTGGTACAGAGACATGAGACTGTCATTGCCAACTGCAACGAAAAAACATAACTAGAATGAAAACACTATTACATACAGATTAATCATAAACCTTCAGCACTGAAAGTCTACAGCAAAGGCATCAAAGAGACTGGTAAACTAAAAAATAAAAACAAAATGATGTCTACTTATATTATACTTCACCTTTTCAAAAGTAGTTTCTCCCATTCCTGTTTTATACAGTTCATACACCATAGCAGTCAAAAATACTTTACTCAGTTTGGAACAAGTTTTCATCACCTGCAAGGACAAAAACAAAGACAAGAGTTAACGTTAATATAGAATAAGTTTGAACAGCAGAAATCATTGTTTATCAACAATTTGGCATAAGTTAACTCACTTGAATATGAGGTGCCTGGAACATTTCTTGGATGGCTGCTTCAACCTCTGCCATACCAACAAGGGTTTTTCCTGCAAAGTGGAAACATATAAATCCTGTAAGCAACGAGAAAAAAGCTTCACAAGAAAATTAATAACTTTAATTCCTTGGTTGAATTATCTCAAGATTATTGGTTAAAAGGCTGTTTATTCAATATGTTCCAGAATGATACATAGGAATATAATTGAATTTCCTGTATATTTTGAGGAGGTCCCAATATGGGGCCATGTTGGAGGAGAGAGGCAAATCAAAATTCCCTTGAGAAAGAGCTTGTGTATCTCTAGAACCAAATTATCCACTTCAATGCATCAATTAAAATCAAATGTTTCGTGTCCTTGATCTAACAAAGGTGCAAATTAAAATATTCATACCAAGCAAATCAAATTTACAACTATTGTGCATGAATGATTGACATATCTTCCCAGTTCCCAGTTTCTAGTGATCAAGAAGTCCTCAAGTAGAAACACAACACTTATATTTCAAGACAGATTGGAGAATGAAAGGTTTTTAGTTTTACTGCCCGAGTATCAAGTGATGATCGTGGATGGTTAAAGTATCACTCTATGTTCTGTTCATGTGGTAAGTGGAAACTAAAAGCCGAGATTAGTTATTACTTATTAGTTTGAACTAAATGAAAGCAATAAGTTGAGAGTTCAAAAGTGTGAATTGTGATTGAAAGCACTCACTATTTCCAAAATTTGCAGGACATTGACAAATACGAATAAGTTAAGATATTTCTCCCAACTAGATCATTCCAGGAATTGAAGCTTATCAAACATAGTGATAGAAGTTGAAGGGAGAGCGGGGAGTGTAGGACAGATTACCAAAATAACAAAGCAAGGATCTTTCAGTTCAAGTTTCCTAGTTTAAAGGAGTTGTTCCTCATTGTTTACCTTGCACCATCAATCAATTTATGAATACGCTAGCCTGATAAATCAATGGTTAAAGTTCAATACCTTCAGATGCATCATTAGGGGTTGAGGCTAGTTTCTTTAGTCGATAATCTGTGATTTCTGCTGCACGCCTGCATATCTCCAGTGCACGACGTGCATCCCCTGAAATAGCTGCCACCTGAATATACATTCAAATAATAGGCTGAGTGTCCAGTGCAAGCATCCAGTAATGACTTTATAAAGTTTATGATGAAAAAGAGAACATACGACTCACCTTTCTTGAAGCGAACTCTATAGCTTGTTGTTTAAATGCATTAATTCCTTTAAGGCGGCTAGAAACTATTTCTTGAAGCTGTTGGTAATTATAGGGGCCAAAGCAAAGCCTTTGGATTCCCATACGACTTGAAATACGAGGAAGCAACTTCTCAGGAAGATCCATGGTATTTGCTATGCCTGAACAGGTTTTTTATTATGACAAGTTAATGCTCCAGTCATATAAAATCTCATAGTCATCGTCGTTATTTTTGCAAGAACTGTTTTTTTTTTTTTTCAACTTGCCTTTCTGTATTTGAGTATCCATTTATCTCAGAAAAGAAGGATCACTGTGAGATAAAAGAGTGCAATCATCATTCAACAAGGATGTGTACTGGAGATAAAGTTTACCTATTACAACTAACTTTGAGTGTGGCTTAGTAGGCCAGTCAAGAATGTTGTATAGAACCTGAAACCAAAAAAGAACTTGTATATTTCAAGAATACACATAGTAAAACAATCTATACCATACATAACTGCATGACTGGGATAATATTTAACAAATATTCACATCACAAAATGCAGAGACTGCTAACTGATAGACTGATAGGAGAAAAAGTAGTTACCGACTGGTTTCTGGTCAGGAGAAGATCGAGTTCATCAATGAGAAGAATACAAGGCTTGTCATCTTCTTTACCAATTTTCTTGCCTTCAGAGAACCGCTCATTTAGCAAGTGGAGAGCCTTTTTCCAACCAACTCTGTGCCCACTTAACGCTTCATATATAACCTGTGAGAAACACAACAAGTATTACAAGGTAACAATGGCATGCCAGCACGATAAGGTATAGCAGGTCTAAATATAATTTTTACCCTGTAGATGTTCTCTGGTGATGCCAACTTTAGACCATTTATCTCCACAAAACAGTAGGGTCTTATACTTCCGGCATCAACTTCAGACCTTAGATTCTTCATTACTGCTAGCACACTCATTGTCTGCAGTTACAGAAAGATACAACAAGAATAAGTTAAACTCATATCATGCATCATAAGTACATATAAGAAATTTATAGGCAACGTCATAAACACTTATCAACGGATCGTACTTTGCCAGTTCCAGGAACACCATGAATGTACAGGCAACGTCCCAAACACTTATCATCAGAGATAGAATCTTTGATAAATGCAGTTATTTCCAACATTTCTCTGCATGCAAGCAGGTCATTATTACAAACAATGTTACAATAATACAAATAAAAGAAGAAAAAGAAGAAAAAAAACCTTTAACGAATGACTCTCACATACTTATCCCTGCAAGGCAAAGACTTAGGCAAGGATGACAGCAGAAGTGCTGCCTTTGCTATTTCAAGATCAGTCTGCTTGTGGCATCTTACGTGCTCTGGGATTTTCTTCATTCCTATCTTTTGAAGTCCAAAGAACCGCCCCTTCTGTGAATTCTGTAGATACACAATTGAATAGTTTAGTTTGAGGGAGAATACAAACTAAATCCCAGGTATGAGATGGAAGGTAGTGTCCATACTGCAGCCAACTCATGAGCTCGAAATGGTTTAGCTAGTATACTTTTTATGCTTTCCTCGTCATAGTCCATGTCTTCTGAATCAAAGTCCAAGTCTTTGCCAACTTTCCAATCTTCATCACTTCCAGCTTCATCATCCTCCTACCAAATTGTTAAAACCCGTAAATTTCAACTCAATTTCAATCCATTTGGATTTATGTAGTATGTTCAATGCTGCTTCTCATTGCCTGAAACACTTACCCCTTCACCGTCATCAACTTCAGCAAGACGCTTGAAGCTGTGCCAATGAATATCATATTCATATTCGCATAGAAAAACATCATCCCCTTCATTGCTTGCTTTGGCATATTCTTTAGGATTCATCACAAAACAATGTCGAAGAATAGATTCCATCTGTGAAAATATAAATTCATCACAGAAATTTTATAAGTTAATGAAATAGCTACCAAAAATGTTGAAGAATAGATTCCATGTTAGACGGCACAAAAAGCATGCCCTCCAGTGCAGAAATGTAAGAGGCACTTCACCAAAAAGTTACCAGTCAAAGACATACCACTTCATTTGCATATCGAGTTGTTAAATTGCAATAGTTCAGTATAGGACTTCTGCTAAAAATTGCACCTATTGCTTAGCCTTCCAACTTTCCAATGTCTTCTAAGCTCCAAGAATGCAAATCACCGCAGACTAGCCTTTCCCTCTTAGAAAAGCCCAAAATAAATTTAGAGATATCCAGTAAGAACCCCACCTTTAGCATGTTCGGCCAGCTTTAAATATCTTTAGGAGCTATCTAAAGGAAGGAAAACTAGTGGTATACAAGCCTATTCGACTACCCTAGCTGCTTCAGCTTCAGCACTCGAATTTTTGATATTCCTTTTTTGGTCTTAAGAATGTTGGTTTTAAGAATGAGTGATTGCCCTTCTCCGAACCTTACTGCCCAACCTGAAAGCGGACAGCTAATGCGGTCCCCAGAAAAAGCTGATTTGAGGATGAGGAATTTGCACTCCAACCAGCTTTCTTCCTTTACCTAAAACTAGTGGTATACAAGCCTATTCGACTTTACACCCCCCCCCCCCACCCCCCCCCCCCCAACCCCAAAACACAAAAATAAAAAAATAACACTAAACTTTACTAAGACCACATAGTCAATCATTTCTCTGAGATCCTTTCAAAATTATAAGTTACCTCTTAAACAAGAGAAGTTGCTTGATTTATGGTTCTCATCTACTCATTCACAAGTGTTTTCAACTTATTCAGCATGATCCTGTAAACTTAATCAGCATAATTCTATGAACTTAATCAGCAAAGTTTTGTAAACTTAATCACCACAATATTATAAACTGAGTCTGCCTTTGCACCAGAGTATGACTTCATGGAAGACCAACTCCAACTTTCTCCATAAGGAAAATGAAGGTATACTCAATTTTGCACTATTTTGAACTCATAAGATACTAAGAGAAATCGCCTGCCAATAAAAGTAGTCAAAACTGCACAACCTGACGCGTTTGAAATGCAGGCGGGTCACAAGAGAAAAGAAATTACTGAACATCAAAAACTAATGTGAAAATCTGTGTGCATCACTTAACTTATAAAACCAATGTGCAATCAACTCCTTTGAAACCAAGAGTTAATCCTACTTTATATGTATTGGTTTTGGCTAAATATGTTTTTGTTAATCTATTTTGGATTCTTTTTTACTCTCAGTCTAAGCATATGTCCCATAGTGGTTATTCAAACACAAAAGGATCCTTTCATGAAGCAATCACAGCTATACAAGAAATAATTCTTACTACAACAATAATCAAGATTTGTTAGTATCTCTCACCTCAATGTCAGCAAAATCATTTGTGCGATAAATTTCTCTCCGCAAATTATGAGGTTGTCTTCCAGTTGCAGTCTCTTCTGGGATTATATACCAACGTACCCGACACCAATAGCTTCCATCTACTTCTTTCCATATGCTGCACAATTTCAAATACACAAAGCACCAAAGTCCACATGCATTACAATCAAAAAACTACAGCAAATGTCACACCGTACACAAAATTAAATCAAATTACAAATCTACCTTTCAATGTGGGCAGCCCACAAATCACTGGAGAGAAGCTTCTCCCTCAATGTTCTAACCAGCTTCTTCCCCTCTGGAGGTGTCGGAAGCTGGACCTTTTTACCCAACTTGCGAGCCTCACAAAACCAGCAAATCCAATCCCCTTCAGGAATATCCTTCAGTGGAGGTTTCAAGCATTTCAAATGAAACCCACCTAAGCAATCATCACACTCAATCATCAAAACCTTCCCAGACTTAAAGCAAACCCTACATTCCTCCACTTCATCCAAATCCTCATCCGAACTCGCATCCTCTCTCCTCCTCACATACACGTTATCCCCCACCTCAAACTCACCCCCATCATACACAACCTTCTTATAATAAACCCGTCTTTTCGGCACTGACTTAACGCTCTTGCTCTCCTCAAAATTGACATTTTTCGAGGCCCTAGAACGCGTAACCACCGTGCTTTTCTGCTCCCTTTTCCTCTTCTTAATCTCCGACTGCCCTGGAGTCACAGGAGATATTGAAATTTCAACCTCGGTCAAATCAGCCTCCTCTTTATCCTTCCACATCTTGCCCTTCTCAGCAGATTTTGGGGTTTTTGCAGTTCCCGCATTTCCCCCTTTTCTTCGTGTTTTGCCCGAATCATTTCGCAATTCATGTTGAGGCGTCACATCTTTCTTCGGCGAGTCTTCAAATAGCTTCTGGGCAGTGGCGGAACCGGCCTGCAGCGAGGCCCGGCGAGCCGACCGGCGGGGAGTCGGGGTTTGTGGAGTTGTGGGAGTTAGAGGCGGCGGTGGCTTGGAATTGGAACGCTTGGATTTCTTGGGGGACTGCAGGACCCTCTTCGGAGTGTCTGCCATGGCTGCTCAGACTCCAAGCGTGCAGAAACGAAGGCAATGTAATTGGAGAAGAAATGATTCGAGACGGACAGAGAGAAAGAATTTAGGGGTTGAAAAATGGCGGGAAAATTGCTACGGAGGGAAAGTATGAGATCTGAATCTGATACGGTAACCTTGATGGCCCACCAGCTACTGCTACTTGGCCCATTGCTCTCTTTCCCCATTTTTCAAGTCACCCTTGGAATGACAATTTTCTCCGTCGTGAGTACCCAAGGGTTACAGACTATTTGTGATAAAAAAAAAAAATATATATATATTAATATCGTATCACAATTTTTTTTTTTTTTTAAGAAAACAACTAGTGACAATCTATGGTTATTCATCTATTTCGGAGGTTTAGAAGACTCACAAAAACATGTCAGCCTTCTCTAGTCACGAGTCTGACATCCACACCAACTTAAATCTCAATTATTTAACTGGTCACAATTGAATTTGACAATATATATTACCCTATTACATAATTACCATCAAGTACAAAAGAAAATTAACAAGAAAAATAAGATTTATCTATAAACTCAAACCCAATAATGAAACCCTAACCATCACTTAATTTTTCTCCTTCGTTCTGCTATAGCAAAAATCCTAAGATGCTCTCATAGAGGAAAAACAAGCTCTTTTTGTTGGATAAACGTTAATTTTGAAGTTTTGGATCCTCTAACTAAGGCATGAATCGGTTTATGCAAGAGTTGAATTATTGGTTTATATGTCATATACTAACGTTATGATTGTTGTGGGCTGTACAAGTTTCCCAAGTCTTTTCATGTTCATTTTGGACACTATTTACCAAGGCTTCTACTTAATTTACATAACATAATCATGACATCTTGCTTTCTTTTATTGGATAACTATAGCTACATACTTTGTTTCATTGTTTTTGCATTCTTCCCGACTCTTTTCATTTGATTCTTCAATTCACCACCAGTCTAACTCTCTTCATTACACCACCACTTTCACTCTCTTCATTGGACCGCCTTCTTTTGGTTAATTTTCTTTGCAGGTTCTTCTAGAATTGAAAAAGCCAATAAAAAAAAATTATATATATATATATATATATATATATATATATATATCAACGTTTATATTTTCCATTTTTCATTTGTCCCTCGATTTAAATTTTGTCATTTCACCTTTGTCTTAGTTTTACTTCGCAACTTTATTCCCCAAAGTACATTACTTATTACAAGAAAAGGAAAAAAAAGAAACAAAAGACTTCCTATCATTTCACCTATAACCTATATATGCTTATAGGTTATAACTTATAGAAGTCTTTAAATCATCTAAAACATAAAAAACTCAAATTCATATGTAACATACATCGTCACGCAAGGCAACCAGAGATTATCGAGCAATGTTGTAGAGGATGATGAAGACTCCATCAAAAACAACTATTGGAAGGAGAGAATGCTAGAGCAGAGAATGCTTTGATTTTGAATTTGATTTTTTACTTTATTTTTTTAATGGGTGTAAAGATAAGTTAACATATATATTGAAGGTTGAAGGCTTTTTAGCTAAAATGATTCTTGAGATTTGCACAACTCCTCACTTTGATCCCTAAGATTTGAAATTCATAGAGTGATCCCTGAGATTGTCTACCATCAATCATTTTGGTCCTTGGATGAAAAATTATGTTAAATAAGGATCAAAATGACAAAATTACCCCTCAATTTAATAAACAATAGGCCAAAATGATTTGACCAAAATTGAGGGTATTTTTGTCATTTTATCCTTATTTTATGGAGATTTTTCATGAAATGACCAAAATGATTGATTGTGGACAAACTTAGGAACCAATTTTATTGATTTCAAATCTCAGCGACCAAAATAAGGAGTTATGCAAGTCTCAGGAATCATTTTGGCTAAAAAGCTTATATTGAATTGGGTTTGTAAGGGTAGTTTAAGTTGTAAAATTGGGTTTAAAGAGATATTGATTGTTTAATTGAAAATAATGAGGGTGTAAAGAGTAAATTGGATGTAGAAAAAAGTTATATGATAAAATTTCCCTAACTAAAAGTCATATCTCTAATATTAACTGATCATAATCAAATATCGGCAATATATTAATTAAATAATGATGATATATATCGACTAAAATAATCAAAAATCAAATCAAATCTCAATTGTTTAATTGGTCATAATCAAATCCAACCACATAGCAATAAAAATTCACAATATAACAATCAAATGTTGACATTTATAGCAATCAAAATCAATTAATCATATTTTTTTTAGTAGTGCTTTGAGTGTTTTTTTCTTTCAAATTTTGAAAGTTTTGGTAATAATAATGTTTAGCTTCTCACGGTTGAGGAGGAATATCTTCTAAAAACATCTCGTGACGGATTTCAAACTTTGTAATTATAATCAGAACCGTTCATAACATAAGTTAATCCCTTTTTAAGAGGTACTCCGCATCTCGATTAGCCAAGTTAATTCCAAACTTTGAATCGGTCACAAGGTATTTAAAGAGGTACTCCTCATCTCGATTAGCCAAGTTAATCCCTTTTTCCTCAAAAATATATAGAATAAGAAAAACAAAATCAAAACATCTGCCTTAATAGTGTTTTAAACTTAACAATCGACCTAGCTCACGAGGATATAGATGCAAAATGTTTGATAATTAAAAAAACTTGAAACAAAGAAAAAAAGGTCCCATAAATCTCAGAAACAACCTAAACCTATGGCATAAGCACCAGGTCTCAACGTAACACAATTTCATATTGACATCCATATCGCCACACTATGATTAGATCCTACGGAGTACTGGATCAAAGCGGAGTGCACCACTGTACTCTTCCCGGCCTCGGTTTCGCTCCATTGTTTATAAAGGCGAGCCATATCCTGATCGCTTCTTCTCTTGGAACCAAACATTATACGAAACATGACTAAGCTTGCTGCGTAAATGATGATGTTCTCAGCCACAAAGGCCGGCATAAGATGGCCCTTTCATGGCGGGCGAGGTAAGCTGCATTTAACCTAGCAATCAACCAAGAGAAGAGAACAAGTCAATACACAGTTATGTATATAAATATACTGGTTTCCTCTGTGTACAAATGGTGCCAAGAGAATGTAATATGACAATTCACAACTTCGGTCTTTGAAAGTAGGGAGTTTTTGTTCGGTTCTTTCTTGCCTTAGAAGAACCATTAATGCAAGTAACGTAATAAAAAAAAATAAAAATGTCTATGCATTTCAACAGAGGCAATGCATGTCATGCGAGGCCCATTTTTTAACAGTTCATGAATATTTCCATAATGGTTGATAGTTGATACAATGACCTTTTCACATGGTTACAAGATTAAAATCGACAAAATATATGTTTATATATTAACTCGTTCAACTTTAATTTATTAATTATGATTCAGTTAAAAGATGTTGCATTAACAGAAAAGGTGAGCAGATGTACTTATCAACGTCCGGTGTAGCCAAGGGATCATCCAACTCTTCTCTCTGTTCAACAGATGGGATAGCACCTCCCGCAGCTGCAGCATCTTGACCTTCAACCTGAAAACAGAACATCCAAAAATATACTCAGAAAAGCAAACAAGTTGCAATCGTTAAACTATCATGTCAATTCCTAGTCCCAGTTGTAGATGAAGTACTCCAGTACTAGCTTGCTTAGCTGAACAATATGGAAAGACTACAAGTTGAAAGGTCTTTAAAGAAACAATAACAGATAACAGGATACATGCGAAACTGAATTTATACACTCGCCTGTTGAGGATATTGGCCATAGCCAGCATATGCACCATATGCATATAATGATGGATCAGGAGTCGCTGCCCCGTAAGCATAGGCATCGTAGCCTTGTCCATAACCATAATATGCAGCCCATTGGTTTGGATCTGCTTGCTGACCCCAGGTACCAGGTACGTCCTACAATGAGGCAGTTTTTCATGTTATGCTTGCAACTATAAATGTCTCTTTTATGCATCTGTAAGTGGATGTAATAAACTAGAGTTCTCTTCCATGCATTGTACATTGAGGAAAGAAGAAATAAATAGAGAAAAACGATATCAGGCAAAAATTAAATCACCTGTTTAGCTGTTGGGCTCCTGCCCCAAGAAATACGGACTACTTGTTGACCAATCATCTTTCCCTGCATCCTTTGGATAGCTTCTTCAGCAGATGCCCTGTATGGACAGAAGTGAAACCAATAAACAACAAAAACTAACATTTTGTCTTTCTTCGGGAAGTTGGATGGCCAGACAAAGACATTGCAACATTCTTTTGCCTCTTTCCCGCATACTTATGCGATGCGGTTTGTTCAAGCAAAGGAGAAACTCGACAAGGGCTAGCCTAAATAAGCCAATAGTGTAACTCTATTTAGCCATGTATTTGGAATCAGTAGGAGGGACCAAGATGGAGGGCAAAGCATTTCTTAAGAAAATGGAACAATCAAGGGAAGGCCTAAATGCTAAACGAACCTTGTCCCAAACTGTACAAAACCACATCCTTTGCCGACAGGAATCTTGACATAGAAAATATCTCCAAACTGCATAAAAGTTTGCTTGAGTTCGTCCTCCGCCACATTAGGATCCAAGTTACCAACAAAAATCTGCACAGGACATAATCGTGTAGGTCGTAAGAGTAATATATTAGACACAAAAACGAAATAAAGTAATAAAGTTAAGCATGTCAGACTTACAGTAGTGTTGTTTACGTCATAATCTGCTGTAGGAAGCACGGGAACTGCTGGTGTAGTGTATGCTGGGACAGGATATACCGCTGCCAGAAAAATTACAGGTAAGTGCATTGAGTCAGGTTAACTACACTTTTTTCAAGAGAGCATTGTGGAGGCAATAGAAATAATACTACATGAGCTTAATCCATGAAGACAAAAAGGAGCACATCCTGGCCACAACTTGAATTTATTGCTATACCAGATTATGATATGATCTTACCTTTTGCAGCAGCATATTGTTGCTGAAAACCAGTGGTTTTCTTTGGTGTTGCTGCACTGATACGCATTGGTCTACTTGAGCAATACTGACCATTCATTTCTGACATAGCTCGGTTCCTTTCAGTCTCATCAGCAAACTTGACAAACCCATATCCCTTTGGGCGTCCAGTGTTAGGATCAGTCACAACCTTGGCACCTCTAACTGATGGATAATTAGTTCGAAAGGTTTCTTGCAGCATATAATCTGTAACATCAGGGGCTAAATCGCCTACAAAAATAGAGTGCTCAGGCCCAGCATCAGGACGTCTTTCCCCAATACCAAAGGAAGCCCAGTTAAGCCTAAAAGTTTGTTCAGTTCCAGGCATTTGTGTCCCATTGTAAGCATGCAGAACCCTTTCCGCTGCAGCATGAGAAACAAATTCCACAAACCCATAACCCTCCGGCTGGCCAGTGATTTTATTACGTATTATCTTTATTGAAATCACCTGCATAAAGTAATCATCTAACAGTAAAAAATAGCACACTGTTATAGAATTGCATGCTTAGTTTAAACTTTAAATTAAGCCACCTATCAAGCTTGCTTTGTTTTCTTTTGTGGATGGGAGTGTGGGACACAAAAAATTTCATTAAGCAATATAAAGAAGAAATACAACCAAAGATGGATGAGATGTCCAGCTATGTTGAGACCTGCAAAACTAAATTCTTTAATATAAAATATCCACTTCCATCACCCTATCATCAGACTCTATTATTTCATTCAAACAAATTTAAACAGAATCCAAGACTAGTGTACCACAGAATTTCAACCAATATAGCCTGAAAAGAACTATCACTAAATTCTGAAGCTACCGATGCTGAAGGGGAAGCCCAAAAACGAAGTCTACCCCATTGAAGGTCCAGCCTCCTCCTCTCTTACTCCCAAAAATTCCTTCTATTCCTCTCCATCCACACCCCAAAAATATTTCCGAGGACCGACATTTCCCTAACATCATGTCCATCTTTTTTCCATAAAAAATTATACCTTTAACACAGTAAAGCAGCGCAAGAAGCTGGAGTCACAAGCTTGAATGGACCTCCCTAAACAGTTTTCTCCACAAGATCAAAGGATCAAAACAATAGAACAATGAACACCACCAAGGCCGTTTCCTCTTTACCGTATTTACAAGTACGTATCCTCCCATGAGCTATGATCCAAGCAAACCCCTATACCTTGGGAGGTACCTTGGCCCTTCAAATTGCATGAAGGGGATCGAGAAACAATTGCCAAAATGTTAAATATCAGAAGTGTGGCTTGCTCTCTTAACTCTTCTAGCATAACCACAAAGTTTAATCTAGTAAACTGAATAGAACCGTCGAAATCATATTGGCAATTTCACTTGGCCTTTTCAAAAAATGGACTATTAACCATCTAGTGCTCACAAGACTCCAATCACATATGATTTGATAATCATTTAGACACTAGCCATGCGCTCTACACCAACTTAATTTCCAATTACAAAGCGACATGCAACATATCCTCATCCTCACTGAAAAAATGTCAGTTCCCTATTTTTTGTTTTTTTTCTTTCCCTAGTTTGGGTTACAACGGAAGGGAATCGAACCCTTCACCCAGCCTAATCCAAACACTTTTCCTCACCCACCCTCATCACTTCAGTTAACAAAACAACAATAGTCAGCTACAAAGACGATAAATTTCCGTGTTTCTCGTAGATTCAATGCCCCACCCTATACCTATAAATTAGCCCGAAATATGTATTCACAAAGCCCGAAATACGTATTCACAAAATCCATGGTTTATCAATAACCTAGCAAACAACTTTTGAACCAAAGACATGTCCTACATCAGTCCAGTCTGTAATTGTAACACATATATACTTATATACTCCAAAAATATAATCAACCCTTGGAAGAAAGCAATTCCAGGCAACCCCAAACAACACATAACAACAAGCACAACGCGAAATACCCATTTTTCTTCCAAGTGAATATGATTATTAAACACAAAATTTCCAACCAAAACCCTAACAGATAGTACACACATGAAGAGAGAGAGAGGGGGAGGGGGAGGGGGAGAGAGAGACCTCGCCGGTGTGAGCAAAGCAGGTATTGAGGTAGTTTTCGTCGACCCAATACTGTAAATCCCCAATCCAAAGGGTTCTGACCTCCTCCACTGAAGTTGGCTGATGATGATGCTGGTACCCCTGAGAAGACGTGGTAGGAGCCGCCGCCATCATACTACTCGGCGGCTGAGGCTGAGCGCTCATCATTTTTCTACCGGTATCGGGAACAAAGAAGGACCCAGCACCACCCGGTAATAACAGCTTTGGCGACAGCGTGTTGTTGCCCCGACTAAATCAATCCACACTCCGTTTTTGCTTCCCCCTCCGAAAACTGAACCCCTTTCTACTTTCTAGCCCACGAGAAGGGTGGAGAATTTTTTTTTATTTTTTTATTTTTGTTTTTTGAAAGAATGAGATTAGAGTGAGTCTTACAATGGGTTGTAATAATATGGTCGAATTTGTGTTTGTTGAGAATCAAATTTACGATCTTTTATTTTTGACTATGATTGATAAAAAGTTAAATAATCTTTTTCTCTCTTTCTTGTGATTATATATTTCATTTAAGCGGTGATACACAAAGAAGAATGAAACGAAGTGAGAGGTCAGGGGTTAGGGATTTTTTTTATAATTATTTTCAGGTCTCGAGGTCACATTTTCTTAAAAGGAAAATCAATTTACATGAAACATGTTCATCATCATGTGACGTCCAAATTAATAATACAAAGCCACATGAGAAATTTACATATTGACACGTAAGAAATTATAGATACAAGAGATTACGAACGTTCACCCTTGAATTTCTGGAACACTATAAAATTGAGAAAAGTTCTTTAACTTTGATTAATAATATGATAGGATTACAACCTAAAGGCAAGATGACCTATTTGTAATGTACTTAACCCTAAGGGGGCGTTTGTTTGCCCTCACTAAGTGGGATTGGACGACTGGACTGGACTAAAACTTAGAGCAATACCGTGTTTGTTACACAGCAGGACAACCTTTAGTGGAACTAGCCGGGACTCGCCTCGACAAAGGACGTCGCTAGACGGTCTTAGCGAGTCTCATCAAAAGGCATTGGATTGCAAAGACCTTCGCTGCTTCACTCCATCTGCTTCTCTTCGTCCGCTTTTCTCCCTTGCTCTGCTTCATCTGCTTTATCTGCTTCTCTCTCCCTTGCCCATCTATCTGCTTCTCTCTTTCCCAGATTTGAAATCCAGCCCATCCACTGCCTAAATCTCAACACCAAAATTTGAAAAAAAAAAAATTCAAAATAAAAACAACAACAATCCCCATACAAAATTCTTCCTTATTCCCAATAATTCCCAAAAAAAAAAACATTTTCCCAGAAAATTCCCGAGAAATGGATAGAGAAAGGGAGAGAGTAGCTTTGGTACAAAGAAACATGGAAAGATGGAGGAGAGAGTAGCTTTAGGGACGATTTTGCAGGAAAAATCACTTTGAAGGATATTGTTTTGCAGGAAAAAATGAGTGCTGGGGGACGACACTAACGAGGAAGAAAAGAATGAACTCCCAAGGAGAAAGTCCAGATAGAGGAGAGCGTCCCAAGCACAAACACAAAGAAAAAGCTTGAATAAAAAATAAAATATTATTGAGTTAATAACAAAATATTATTAAATGTGTATTTAATGATATAAAGTTATAGTTGTTAACTATTCTTTTTTTTAGTTCGGCACTCTACTAAATGCTTCACTAAATCAGTCCAGCTTAATCTAGTCTAAGCCAATCCAGCTTAGTCCCTAAAGCTAGTCCAGTCTGAGTTAATCCGGTGCAACAAACGCACCCTAAAACTCTAGGAATCCAAGTAGGGAAAAAAGATAACAAAATGTAAAATAGATCCTAAAATACTAAAATCTCGTTTTGGACTGGTCGTTTTCTTCGTATCCATATATAATCGGCCCAAAATTGACATGTCAAATGAAAGTTACTTGGGACAAAATTGGTGTTATTTTGGGCTCGGGAAAATTAAAAGAAGGAGGTTGCGTTTAATTAAGAAAAGTGATTGGAGAACTGGTAATTATGGGTTAAGAGGTTATTTGTTGCTAGCATCTCTTCAAAGTGGATGTTTTGGACTAGTAAAAGTTGCAATTGGGGCGAATTCTGACTAGGCTTATTGCAACAAGTCTTGTAATAGGCTCAAAACTGACATTCCAAATAAAAGTTGCGTTAATGTGAACAACCTAAAAAGTCCAAAACATCCACCTCCGGGATATGCTAACAACAAATAACCTTTAACTCGTGTATTACCAATTCTTCAATCACTTTTCTTGATTAAATATCTCCTCCTTTTAATTATCCAGCCCTTAAAATAACATTAATTTTATCCTAGGTGACAGATGTATTGTTTTATTGAATTAGGACACCATACAGTGGTGAATCGTTTCATATAAGTCATTCTCCCTTTAGAACCATGATTAGATTTGTATTTTATTTTTGCTGGAAAAGAAAAGTGATTGGATTAGAAATTTGCCAAAATGCATGCGCTTCATATAATAATGGTTCCTTTGTAATTGTGTAACGACATGGAGCGTTTGAAGCGGCTTCCAGTTCGCGTCTCACGCCATGTTCCTGTTTCATTATGACCCCAAAACGGTCTCCTCTCTGTCTCCCGTTGAATCTGTGTCTCTCTGTCTCCAAATTCAAAGCCAAAACTGCCGCTGCCGGCTCCGCCTCACAATCCATGGCCATCCCAGCTGTAGTTGCCATCTTACCTGTCGGCGTTCTCTTCATTCTCTCTGGCCTCATTGTTAATCTCATGCAGGTACATACGCAGACCCGTCTGATGACATTAACTAAATAAAACTTGCTTCACTTTTAAGGAAAACAAAAGTTGTCATCCATTTTGATCGTTGCATGGAAATTGAATGATCCAATTGCATGTTATGGAGAATGTTGAGATTTCTGAAACCTAATATATGCCATAACGCATGATGTGAATGATGAGAATTTGTGGTAATTCAATGACTCTATTTCATGTAAAGGAATTCGAGGTTCAAACCCATCACGTAATTTTGATAGATCGGATAATCGTAAAATATTGATATCAAGGCGTGTTTGCTACCTAAGAATCGGAGTAAGCATGAATTAATGCCAGGGTCTCAAGAATCAACTTTAATGTGCATTCATTATACAGCCGTGGGGTTTCTGTAATGCCTCCGTTACTTCGAGTAATTTGATCGTAATTGTAAGTATGAAACACAATGGTACAAGTTTGGAAGACAATGGTACAAAATTATGAGTTGCTTAATATGTTTTAACATGAAAAAATTGCAAAGATGAATTATTAGGACACTAATTTATATCTCAATGAGAAAATTAATTGAACAGAAGTAACTACCATAAGGCTTAAACCTTCGACCTATTTATCACCGTCAGAAAATAATGCCATCAATAGGTGCTTGCTTCCAATATGTTTTGGCTCAAAGTATGGCATCCTTGCTGCATATAAGGCCCTGCACTTCCATGCCACATGCACGCACACATAGACGCATACAAGTATGTTGGATGAAAATCCGACAAACATATCGTTTTTACATGCTCTATGCTTTTATGTCCTATAGATCGTTCCATTTCATCCAGTGACTTCGAACATGGGTTTACCTCACTAAACTAATTAATGGCATTTTCCTTTGATTATTCAATATGTGCTTGCAGATAGTGTGTTTCCTCCTTGTTCGTCCTGTGTCAAAGAGTATGTATAGAAAGATCAACAAAGTAGTAGCAGAATTGCTGTGGTTGGAGCTCATATGGCTCATTGATTGGTGGGCAGGAATCAGGGTATGCTTCCTTCTTAAAGTTGTTCATGTTTATGCCTTTAAGTCTCATTTGCTCATCAATATTATCAGACCTATCTTTTGGCAGTCGTAGCTTTTTCGAGATAAACGCACAGTGGTAGGATCTATATGATTGATCAACCAATACATACACATCTTGGGACAAATTGATAATCTCAAAATTTTAGTATGCTTACAATTTGTGGGGATTGTTGAGTTATTGGAAGAGCATGATTGTATGAATAGAGACAAATTAAACGATTGTATGAAAATCTAAATCTTTGTGGTTCTGCAAAAGCTAAATATTTATTGAAGCTTCAAAATGAGCAGCGAAGGAGGAAACTAACGTACACCATGATGCAAAATCTACTTTGAAAACCATGTTCTATATTCTAATTTTAGAATGGTTTTTCTTTTTACATACTCCAAGTTGCCATGGATTGCCATATATGCAGAAGAAACATACTCGTGACTACATTTCTCCGTGCTGACCTTGCAATCTCAAATCACGGTCTAACTGGTTGGAACTTCTTCTGCAGGTTGAGTTGTATGTAGATTCAAAAACTTTTCAATTAATGGGTGAGGTGACAATTATTAATTGGTTGTATGCCAGAATTCTTTCAGTTGAAGAGAGGGAATTAAGATTTTGATGGCAAAAGAAAGAGAAATTGAATTTTGTTTACATTTACAAATCTCTCACGTCGACTGACTGTTTCCTTGTTTGAGGAATTTTCAGGTAAAGAACATGCACTTGTCATTTCCAATCACAAAAGCGACATTGATTGGCTTGTTGGATGGCTTGTAGCTCAGGTGCTTATTTTCCAAATATATCTCTAGCAGTCATTTGCATGATGTTAAACAAGCATATTAACTGTTGACAGTATTTTAAAAGCATATAATTTTCTGACTTCATGAAAAACAAGCTACCATCATGGGGTCTGCGACCTTCCCTCCCTCCCTTTGTGTCTTTCAACTGTTAACCTCAACAAAAATTTTCAGAAAACAATATACTCATGTTGTATCTTGTGTCTTTTTGTTTCCTTTATTCAAAACACCTCAGACCGCACCCCTATAGTGAAAATGAGATTTGAAGTGAAGTTGGCAGAGTTAGAAATTTATGAACCTCCTATATGTTTTCGATTGTGTTATTTCTAGTTCACTGATCGGTATCAATATGTTGCTAACAGCGCACAGGTTGCCTTGGTAGCGCACTAGCCATCATAAAGAAAGAAATAATGTTCCTCCCAGTGAGTTTTCTCTCAACATGTATCTTTCTGTTCCTATTGAAGTTAGTGATGGATTTATGCTGCATGTATTTAGTTACGCTTTCCATAATTAGCAGGATTAAGAAAACCAGAATCTCTGCTGAATTACTAATTATGCCAGATTAAGCTATTTGCTTCTCCAACTAAGATTTATCAACTTTCTTAATTTTTTTTATTCGATTATTTAGTTGAATTCTTGTCACTCTCCTCATTCCAACTGTTACCAACTCATTCAGATTGCCCTTTTTCTACTCATTCATCTAATTTGTATTGTGATAAATCTTTCGGTAAGGGTTGATAACATGGTACATGCACACAGGTCATCGGTTGGTCAATGTGGTTTTCTGATTATGTCTTCTTGGAAAGAAGATGGACAAAAGATGAAAGCACATTGAAGGTATCTTTAAATTTGTTTACATGTATATGTTGACACAGCCTTCTTCTTTGTCATGGTATAACTCATCGGTTCTCCACTACAGTCAGGTTTTCGAAGACTAGAGGACTTCCCCATGCCTTTTTGGTTGGCTCTCTTTGTAGAAGGAACACGATTTACGCAGGCAAAGCTAACGGTAGCTCAAGAGTTTGCAGCTTCTAGAGGGTTGCCTATTCCTAGGAACGTCTTGCTTCCACGGACGAAGGTAAATATGCTGTATTTAGAAGTGAAGTCTGACAGAATCCTTAATATGCGACCTACTTGAAGTAAAAGAAAGAGCAATGCATCCTTGCCACATTATATGTTTTTAGCTGCACCATTTTTTTCTTTTCTGAATTTTTTCTGTACTTGCAGGGGTTTGTTTCATCAGTAATCCATATGCGCTCTTTCGTTCCAGCAATTTATGATTGTACACTGGCCGTCCCCAACAATCAGCCACCACCTACATTGTTGAGAATATTCAGAGGGCAATCTTCTGTGGTAGGACCACATAACTCTTTCTTCATATGCTAATGAAGTTACTTGTGATTAGATGATATTAACCATATTTTGTTCCTAACTGCATCATTAGTCTCTCATAGGAAACATCACACTTTCTGTAATCCTTATTACCTGCAGATGTCATTTATTCTGTTTTCAGATTCTCTTTAAAATAAGTTCCTTTTTAATATACGATCACATTAGTTGAATCCATCATTTAGGACGTACGTGAGAGTTGTAAACATGACATGTAATTGGATGTATGAACCGTATGCATAACACGTGAAATGAATTTTTAGCATATAACCACAATAAACATTAAGGATGCTACCAGAACTGGGGAACCAAAAAGGAAGATACAAAGTACTCATGAGTGTGCAGAAACAGGACAGACATTCTGTAGAAGGTGGCATTTCGTGCTGGCCTGGTGTGCCGTTGCATCCTTATGCATGATCTTGTTTATGGGACTTATGCTTCTGTTAAAATTCTAGGCCATAACTTCTGGAAAAATGAAATGGGGCTGACATATTATCAACTGTATCTGCTTCCACGTAGAGCTGAGGCCAACAGTTGTGGGAATAGGTTCAGAAATAATGTTACTAACTATAAGGAATTCCGATTGTTGCAGTTAAAATTACAAATCAGGAGACACTCAATGCAGGAGTTGCCAGAAACGGCTGATGGAATTGGACAATGGTGTAAAGATGTGTTTGTTACCAAGGTATAGTAATCGATGCAACCTTTCTTTTCTTTTTCTCTTCTTATCTGGAATTTTCCCGTGCTTGAAACTTTTCATACAAGCAATATTTGGTGCGAGCGGAAACGAACACAGGACCTAGAGCCCAGGGCTGAATGATTGAGCTACAATGCCCTTCGTTGTGACTATATATTTGATGTTATTTTCTTCTTTTTTAAACTCTCCAACTACCAGGATGCCTTATTGGAGAAGTACTTTGCCAAAGGTTCTTTCAGTGAACAACAACTTCAAAACATTGGCAGACCTATCAAGTCCTTAATTGTAAGATCTTTTAACTGACCAAATTACCATTTCCCTCTTTCTATCTTTTAATCTATGGAGGAAGAGGCTTCTTGCAATTAAGGAACCGAATGGGATACATTGTCTTGACCAACTGACTTGATAACTCACATTTTCTTATTACAATTATATAGGTTGTCGTACTTTGGTCGATCCTCCTCGCCTATGGAATTTACAAATTTGTGCAGTGGTCTGCCCTCCTAGCCTCATGGGAAGGCATTGCATTTTCAGCAACATTCTTGGTCCTTGTTGTAATTGTCATGCAAATTCTCATCCAGTCATCTGAGTCAGAGCGTTCTACACCTCTCACGGTACCCCCAAAAGACCCATCAGAGCAGCGACTCATTCAGAAATGATCTTCATGTGTATATATATTTAGGACTAACAACAGCCAATCCACATGTATGATCATGTATTTCTTTCTTTCTTTTTTGGAAATATATAAATATAAAATATACAGATTGTTGTAAAACTAACTTTGAGAGGTGGTGAGAGAGAGAGGGTCGGTAGAGAGGGGCTCGGGTGTGTGAGAATTGTATATTCATCACCGGCCTTGTACTTTTTGTTTATACTAATCATGATGGACTTTTTTACCTTATAAGTAATACAAAGCTTATAAGGATTTGATTTCCAAATTCTATTGGGATTCTACTTGAAGTTTCCACAATCATATTCCTAATTAATAATAGTATTTACAACACTCCCCTTTGAGTGTGAACAACTTAAGAAGTAGTCGCATCAAGTCTTCATTGATTTGGAGATGGCGGTTGTTGTTGTCCGTTCTTAGCAGGTACAATAATTGTTAACCCGAGTGTCATGCGATGGATCAACTTAAGACGTCGTCACATCAAGTCTTCAAGAACACTATCATAATCTAGAATAATCTCGTGAGGTCGGTACTTCAGTAACATAAATACGCAAAGCACCTACTAAAAAAGGCCAGTAGTCTCACCAAGTGAAGTACCAAAAAACAAACCATTACTTCAATGTAACGTCCCTTCGTTTGTTTCATCTCATGACCGCATCTAACCCTTAGATTAGACTGCCTACGTACCCTAAGACGAGATCAAACAATTCACTATGTTGTTAAGCTCAAAAACTTATCATGGCATTAATTGGTTAGAAACATAGAGTTCCAGACAACTCTAAATGTGAGTGATGTGCCAATAATATATCATTTCATCTTAAATAGCATTTCAATAAAAGAGTTCCGGAGAGATATGATATGACATAATGTTATCCAATTTAGTAAAGGGACAAGTTTACTTTTTGGAACATCAAATTATGAAAATGATTTATTATGCGTTGTAGAAATTGCGGCTTGCTTGCTCTGAGACCACAGTTCATGAAATCTAGTTGCGAGTTTTATCTTAGGACTTGGTACTTATGTTTATTACCAAGCTGCCGGGAACTATGGTAATGTCGTGGTTACCACTTTCTCCAATGTTGACAAAGATTGTAAGGATGCTAAACATAACAAAAAGGAAAATACCTGGTCATTATAAGTGAGATTCAGAAACAATAAGTATCTATAATGACAAAACCTGTGTTTGCAAGGACATAAATGACATATGCTTCAAGAATTGCGGTCATAATCATGACAGTACTAGTGATAGGGGAGAAAATCTTTATTATGACTGGAACACGAGTGATACATCACGTGTTTTTATATAAATAGTGTAAAAATTTATTTTTTAAGTTATTAACTTAAATAGCGTGTTTGTTTGCCCTCACTAAACCTCACTAGATAAGACTGGCTTAGCTAAAAATATTAATCCGTGTTTGGTGCAAGCCAGGACTGAGTTTAATGTAACTAGCTTGGACTCGTTCCAACTAAACTCTTCACTAGCTGGGCTTAGTGAGGCCGGGCAGAAAGGTTGGATTGCTAAGAACAACGCTTCGCATCATCATCGTGCTGAGGCTTCGACTTTCTTAGTCGTCTTCCACAGATCTCCAACCCACCACCATTAAGCTTTTCTTCTTCGACCATCGCATCCTTCTCGACACCATTAAGCACTCCGCTAGGAAGATGCGTTTGCAAGTTTGTCATTGATTTTCTGAGATCAATAGAAATCGATTTGCAAATCCGACGATCCAAGCCTCTGCAAATTGAAAAAAAAAAAAATTTAACTAAATAATTTTTTAGCATGGCCGGTCTCCCCGTTTTAGTTAGGTTAATTGCTCATTTCATTTTAGTTGTCATACAACTTAAACTCTATGTGCCTTGTGGATCAAAATCCAAAAGTAACTTAAAAAGCCAATACAAACCTTTCGTATGATTAATTAACTAATTAATTAATCTTGACCAAGTTCAATTAAACTATTTAATTCCTTATCCATCTCATTGATATTTCTTCACATTCATCGTTACTTGGTGTACGATCCATTAGGTTCCAATTAGCGAAGGAGTGGGGAGGGCTACCCCATCCTAGGATTAGGGCATACAACAAGCCTCTTTAAGTACTCAAGTAGGGGATCTTAGTACCTTTTTGGATTTTTTACAAATCACCCATCAAGAGAGATTGCCGGCAATAAGACTCATTTCTAAACTTTGGTCTGGTGAAGAGAACGATCTTTACCAACTCAATTAACCCTTGTTAACCGCAGATAACCATTGTCACTCTTCTGTTTGGTTTGATAATTTTCCTCGTATAATAATTACTAGGTTACTCTTTGATAAATTTGATAATTGAATCCGGGATGATTTATTGAGCGTGATTATATATAAAAGGATAGGAATATGTATTTACACACCAAGGGCACCAAGTTACGAATTGACCGAAATTCACCGACCACAATACTTCAATTTTTTGGCCAATTATCAAATGCACAGTAACTCCAGCTCACAAAATTACCAGAAAAATTAAATCTTTTGGTGTTGTTTAATAAAATACAGCAGTGGGTATCATCATGGTATGCTATAACCTAATTACTAGGGATGACAACGGTTCGATTTGGGGACAGAAATACTATATTCATCCTCATAACCACGAAAATTAACCATATCCATAACCGCAAATTAACCATCAGGGATTATCCATAACCATATCCACCGGGTAACGGATTTTTAAAAGGCTTGTGCGAAATTGTTGTCGAGTATATGGTTACTCGTATGATCGCAATCTTCCTTGTAATAGTCATACGTGTCCTCTTTATTGTTTCCGGATCTAAGTTGAGAAAGATGGACACTTCGCAATATCGTATTGCTCAACATTCTTACAAAACGATACTGAAATAGGTTTATGAAAGGCTCTTGATTGACCCTTTTTAAAATTTTGATTCAAGTTGTTATGCACATACTACAGTTTGTAAAAGTGTGTTCATTCTACAAACCTCCACATCTTTTTTTTTTTTTAATCGTTTTGTTTTGTTTGAATAACCAAAAGTAAAATATTTGTTGAACAATTCAACATTTATGATGGACACAACTGCAGCTCGTTAATGTTATATTCAAGCGTGTGGGACACGAGTATTGTGCCATATGCACTAGGGTGTGATATTATATTTGTGCTAAAATGAGTTTACCAAGAAAGGGGGGTTCATTTCCTTAATCTATTGTACTGCAATGATTCTTCGCTTCTTAACAAATTTAATCTCATACATTACATTTTCATTTTGCTATAGTAGGAATAATAATGCTCGAGAAATGCTTTTGTCTATTTACAGTAGGACAGTTAAGGCTAGTCGTGTACTTTTTCCTGCTTGTCGTATCTTTTACACGCCATAATAGTCACTAACACGACAAGCACGCAAGTTCAGTTCACAGTTTTACAACTCTATTGTAATGAACTAGTCAATCTATTAAATTGTAATTAAGAAATACTTGTGCGAAATAATAAATAGATATGTGACTGTTGATATTTAAACAATTTATGGGAACTGGTAAGTTGCGTTTATCGTACCAAATAAATCCCAAATTTATAAACTCTCGTACCTGATACCTCACACCAATAAATACGTCGCTAAAGTAGTTTTAAAGGAAAATGTGTTTTTCATCTGACAAATGACTCCATTGTTGCCTCATCCATTATAAGTGTAGAACTCTTTGCATCAAAGTTCAACAACATCTTAGGAATTTTTTTTGAGAAAATCAAAAGTTACGCATTCTTTCCACCATTATGGCCAGACTAAACATGTTTCCAATTGTGGCCATTTTGCTTTTGGCGAGTTGCACACTTCCAACGTTGGCGCATTTGGATGACTCACTTGCCGTGGTTGAGTGCAAAAAACATTTTAGCATAAAGTATGCATTCGACGTGTACAACTATATTTTCAAAGAGAAGAAAATTGGTGACGGTCGTTGCCAGGCTCTTGTGGAGTTAGGAAGACCGTGCCATAATGTTTTCGTGAACAACACTTTTACTTATGAACACACCGGGAATAGAACCGCCATTCAAGCCAGGGCTGATCGAGTATTTAATCATTGTATAATTGTAAATTCCATCCCACCTCCTTCTTCTCTATCTTAAAGAGAGAATTGAACTTCTCTAGGGCTAATAAATTTGTGGGATGTTTCATGAGTTAGAATAAAATTTTGATCTATTTGATTTGATGCCTTATTACAACTTCTCTTTGTTGCATTGAGTTGTAAACCATTTTCTTCATGATTGAGGAATGAACAATAGCAATAAAACAACTACCACGCTAATTCAGAAAACTTCATGAAACATCATATGTAATATAGATTAGTTTTATATTTGTTCGGTCTTTACATGTACATTACGTTCCGCTATTGCAGCTATATCGCATATTGATATGTCTGCTTATCTTTTAGAAAATTATATTGCACGACCAAATTCAGGCTTGTGTGAAATTGTTGTCAAGTATATGGCTACTCGTATGATCGCAATCTTTCATTTAATAGTCATACGTGCCCTTGATGCGAGAATTATACGCACATAAATTAAACCCTCTTTTTGTCAATTGTAGTAAGTATGAAAGTAGGGATCGTTCTTAACCGGGGATTAGGAGGGATTGCAAAATCACTTGGAAACTGACTCAAAAACGTAAAATAAAGTTTAAAACACTAAACTAGACTCAAAGAATGCAAAACTAAACACTTAAAACACTAAAACAAACCAAAAGACTCAAACAGCACCCAAGACACTCAAAACAGCCTTAAAAACACTTTCTGGGCAGTTTTGAGCACTTTGACTACTTTGGACGAAATTGGGTAATAAAATGAATCAAAACACTTAAAAACACAAACTAAGACACTTTCTAACTAAATTGGACACTAAAGTAAAGGGGGATTGAGGTTTTGACGAAATTAAACTAAATGCACAGATTGTAATAAAGGGCAGATTCTAAAGATGAATTTGATGGAATTGAATGGATGGGATGGCTAGCTAAGGAGTTCATCTCCACACATGTTACACTTGCATATAAAACGATTTCCAATTGCTTTTCAATAAACCATGATGCTCAACACCCCAAGTTAACCGTGATGCACTAATTAACTCTCAAATTTTCCTTATGTTATTGAATTGGATGATGCATGCGACAATTCAAATCATTCTCCAATGGTTCTCAACATGAATGCATAGAAGAGATACAATGAGAGAT